CCATGAAGTCCTCCTGAGGCAGAAGCCCAGGGACAGCACAACCAGGATGAATGTCACTCTCCCTCCAAGCCTGGGAGCCTCATTCCTGTGCTGGCATCCTGGGGTCCAGTCTCTCCACTTTCAGAAGTAGTATTCAGGCTGCACAGAACTGGTGTGTTAGGGGTCAGGTGAGACCCAAGACTTGCAAGCCTCAGCCAGGCCTCTGTGGGCATCATGGTATGTTGCATAGTGTTTGCCATGCCCAGCATGGTCCTTGCTTCTGGAAGCCCTTCCTCTCTTCCTGGAGCAGGGCCAGACCACCAGCAAGGGCCACTTCCCAGAATAAACACCTGGCCCACAGAGAACCCCGGTCCTGTAGGCTCAGCAGGCCAGTGCCACCAAGAGAGAGGCAATGACCAGGCCATCAGTTCATTGTTAAGAAGTTATTCTGATCTCAATTTTTTTTTTTTTTTTTTGAGACAGGGTCTCATTATGTAATTTAGGTTGGCCTTGAATGCAATATGTAGCTCAGCCTGGTCTGGAACTCATGGCAATCCTCTTGCCTCAGCCTCCTGAGTGCTGGAATTATGTGTACAGGCACTGCACCTGGCTAGTGGTAAAAACTGAGCATTGAACTCACAACTCATGCTTGCCAAGCAGGCACTTGAGCTACTGAGCTAAATCCCCAGCCCTAAAGGTCTTTTCTAAGCACTTAATACTAAGCCTGACACAGGCCCCCCCCCCATGATATATGCTGTGGAGATTGCTATCTTTCAGAGAAAAATTGGGAGTCAGAAAGGTCAAAGTATTTCACCAAACTAAGTTGTCAAAGCTCAAGACTTGCCACTGATTATCCATCCTGGTTCCTATCATCCCTCCTATGTAACATAGGCCTAAGTTTCATTTCTCTTTTTTTTTTTTTTTTTTGGTACCAGGGATTGAACTCACAACCTCGCACTTGCCAGGCAGGCACTTATGCCGCTGAGCTAAATCCCTGGCCAGTTTCATTTCTTTAAGATATTGGGGATTTAGCTCAGCGGCATAAAGTGCCTGCCTGGCAAGTGCGAGGTTGTGAGTTTGATTCCCCGTAAAAAAAAAAAAAAAAGATATTGTCTTACATCTTTCACACTCAGCTTACATTCAAAAAGATAGGAATTGCCTCAAAATCCCTGATTAATGTAGAGCCATTCACTAAGCTTTCATATTGTACAGATTTCCACCTTGCAGTGCACATGTGTATGATGAGTGAATGGCATTCCTTCTAGGCACTGACAAGTGAAGGGTCCCACTAACTCTAGAAGACTCTTTAAAGGCATGGATGGCTGAGACAAGAGGAGCACTATGAGTTTGAGGACAGCCTGGGTTACATAGTGAGACCTTGGGGGCTGGGGATTTAGCTCAGCGGCATAAGCGCCTGCCTTGCAAGCAGGCAGTCGTGAGTTCGATCCCTGGTACCGATAAAAAGGAAAAAGACAAAAAAAAAAAAAAAAAAACAACATAGTGAGACCTTGTCTCAAAAAACAAAAAAAAAAAAAAAAAAAAAAAAAAAAAAAAAAAAGAGAGAGAAAAGGGGGTAAGGATGTAACTCACATTGAGCTACTATTTAGAATCCTCCTGCCTCAGACTTCTTAGTGCTAGGATTAGGCATGTGCTACCACACCTGATCCCCAGCACTTCTTAAATTTTTACACATTCATGGATTGAGACAGGGTCTCAATATGTAATTCAGGTTGATCTTCAACTCACTATTCACATTGCTCCTCTTATCTCAGCTTCCCATCATTGAGATTTCTATTATGTAATCTCACTGGGCCATTACTAGTCATTTCCATTATATTCCCATTCTACAGAGGTGGAAACTGAGGCACAAAGGAATTAACATAATCAAGATTTTTTTTTGTCTTTTTCGTTTTTATCGATACCAGGGATCGAACTCACGACCGCACACTTGCAAGGAAGGCACTTATGCCCCTGCGCTAAATCCCGAGCCCCCAAAATTTTACAAACTAGAACTTCCAGGTGTGGTGGGACACTCCTGTAATCCTAGCACCCAGGAGGCTGAGACAAAGAGGCTGCCCTGAGTTTGAGGTCAGTCTGGGTTATTCAGTGAGTTCAAGGCCAGCCTGAACTACATAGCAAGAACCTGTCTCAAACCTCCTTCCCAAGAAAAAGAGGAGAGGGGTAGAAGGGAGCTAGGGATTTAACTCAGTTTGATGACCCTGGGTTTAATCCCTAGTACTGCAAGAAAAAAAAATGTCTGGTAGAAAAACTGGTCTAATCGATTGAGGATTGGGGGTTTCTGGTTATGTCCACATACGAGTTTTTTTTTTTTTTAAATCACTCACTAGTTTTGTGGAAGCTAAACAGCCAAATTTAGGGGTTTTCTGTAGGTTAAGAGGACATAAACTGGGTCCTAGGCTGAGCATGCCATCTAGAAGCAATTTTCTTTCTTTTTTTTTTTTTTTTTTTTTTTTTTTTTTTTGTCTTTTTCGTTTTTACCGGTACTGGGGATCGAACTCACGACTGTCTGCTTGCAAGGCAGGCACTTATGCCGCTGAGCTAAATCCCCAGCCCCTAGAAGCGATTTCTAAACTCGATCTTTATTAACTGCCTCAAAAGAAAAGTGCCACTATCCACTATGCCAATGCAGGATCCATAGGGAGTGAGGATCCTAGAGTAATCCATGGAGCAACATGCTGAAAAATAACCTCCAAGAAAGGACCCCCAGGGATTCCTTTTCTTTTTCTGTTTTTCTTTTTTTGAGTCTCTCTTTGTAGTCCATGCCTGTCCTCAGACTTGTAGTGTAGCCCAGATTGGCCTTGAACTCATGATCTTTCTACCTCAGTCTGGGATTACAAATGTATGCCACCACTCCTGGCTCAGATTTCAGATTTATTTTAATTATTATTTCTTATAGCGAAGTTTCCTTCTGCTGGTGTTGTTGGCCTTCTGTGTTTACCACTGCGTAGTTTCTGTCATCCTGCAAGCTTTTTCCTGGTGCATTGGCATTGAACCTGAGTCTCGTACATGCTAAGTATGTGCCCTACCACTACATCCACTGCCCCTCGAAATGTGTTTTTGCAAACAAATTTAAACCAGCTGGCCATCTAGATATCTTTATACGGATGCACTTGGATTTTCCGGGGCAGCTGCTCTGCAGGCTGAGTCTCATACTACTGAGTGTGTCGAGCACAAGGCTGAATCGAAAGGATTCCCGACGCCAGGAGGGGGCGCTCTGTGACCCTTAGCTTCCGCTCCTCCCGACGCTAGGCTGCTCGGCTGACCCAGGGTGCCGGCCCTTAACAGCCTCCTCCTGGTAGCTGTAGATCCGCAGCTGGCGTCCCTCCACCCCCATTCCCCGTGTCCATCTGCCGGCTAATATTTAACTCATCCACACTCTACATTATTCACACTCAGAAAGTCCGGGTGGGGAGGTCACCTCTAAATAGCCCCTAAAGGCCTTGGCTTCGGATAAATGGGTATCTTCAATTCCTTTCCAGTATCAGCCAACAGATTTTGAGTACCTACTACGCGTCTTATTTATTCGTCACACCATGAACACCTATTACGGGCCCACCTGGGCGCCAGGTCAGATGCATATGCCAAGCGCTGTGCCTAGTGCTGATGATGCCGTGTAATCAATCAAGACCCATGTGCTTCAGGCTCTGGTGGCATAACATTAATCACAAGAAATGACAGAATTTTAACCAGAATCAGATGCCTCACCTATAGGTGATGCTGACTCTAAAGTGCCTTTTCTTCTCAAGCCAACTGGAAAGGAGTTGGCCAGCAGCAAGAGAGCTGGTTTTGAGCCACGATTTGCCACCAACCAAACAGCAAAGCCAGACAGCAGAGCGGCAACAAGACATTGGGCGGGGGCTGAGGATTAGCCCAAACAAAACACTCAAGAGGTTCAGTACGAGGAGACAGAATACAGCCCCGCTGCCTGGTGCGGGCCTTCTCACTCGTGGTCACTCGTGGCACTTAACTAACCTGGAGTAAGCGCTGGGCGAAATCGAGGGCCCCGGGAGTGCTCAGTTTTGGGGGCAAGGGCTGGTGGTCCCAGCTGCTGACATCAAGACAGTGGAAGCTCGGATTGTTCCAAGCAGGTCTCATGCTTACTCCATTTCAAGGGAAACTGAGGTCAAGGGCAGAGCAGGTACCAGTCCGGTGTTGCTGGGGCACGAAGGGCTGAGCCCGACCTCAAACCCGCCCGGAATCGGGAGAGGCCTCTGCCCGCGTTCCTGGAACTGGGTTGGGCGAGGAAATCGGGGCCTGCGGAGAAGCATTCCGGCCGCCATCCCCACGGCTCAAGACCGCAGGGGGCCTGGCCAAGGTGACCCTGCAGAAGGAGGCAAGGGTCCCCGCCCTCTCGGCCGCAGCAACCTCCTCCATCTTCCCGGTCCGCGGGGCTTCACTGGAGGACCCGCGCGCCCGCCCCCACCCGGGCTACCCCGAGGGCGGGATATTTCGGGCTTCTGTCCGCCACCCCGGGCTACCTCCGGGCCGTGTCCTAGCGCTGCCCTCCGGCAAGGGGCGGAGTCGTGGGGGGGCACGGGGGAGGCGCGCGTCCCAGTTGGGGCTCCTTCCCCCACCCTTGCCACCCGATGCCCGCTCCAGGGGCAGTCTTCCTCTTCTTCCCTTCCCTGGCCAGCCGGTCGCCCCCTCCCCCCGACACGCTCGCCCCGCCTGGCAGCTGGCGCCCGGGGCCTGGGGCCGCGGCGGCGCGAGGGGTTTGCAGAGAGGGCGGGCGCGAGCGAACGAGCGAGCGAGCGCGCCGGAGGGAGGGAGGAGGGAGCGAGGCAAGGAGGCCGCCCCCCGCGCCCCTCCTCCTCGCCCTCCTCCGCGCCCGCCGGTCCCTCCTCCCGCCTCCTCCCCTCCTCCTCCTCCCTCCAAGACATCCCCGCACGGCCGGGCCCCCACGGCCACCTTCCCTGCCCGAGCTGCAGATGTGGCGGCGCGGCCGGGCGCCGGGCGGCAGTGCCAGGGGAGCCCGCTCCCCGTGAGCTTCGAGCCCCGGCCCCCGCCCGCCCCTGCCCTTTCCCCGCTCGCCCCGCACCGCCCCTAGACCGCTGGAGCCCGCAGCCGGGTGCCGGACCGCCCCCGCCGCCGAGGTAGGAAACCCCCGGGTGTCGCGCCTCGGGGACCTGGAGCGGGCGGGGGGGGTCTCGTGTGCCGCGCGGGGGTTGCAGGGCCTGAGGGTCGCCTCCCCCTCTTGCGTCCGCGCCTCGCCCCGGGCCATTGTGAGCCCTTGCCGAGGCCCCTGCGTTCGCTTGCTCGCTGGCTTGCGCCCTCCCTCCCTCGCCGGTTCCCTGGCCCCGTCCGCCGATCTCTCGGTCTTTCTCCTCCCTCTTTCCCTTCCTCCGTACGGAGGCTGGGCCGAGCCGCGGCTGGGCCCGGGGCGGGCGCAAACTTCAGCGGGGAAGTTGGGCGGCTGTGGTAGGGTACACTGCGAGGTGAGAGGGTACCACCCTGCGCCTGAGCAAGAAGTTGGCTGGGGCAGCCAGGCAGCCGCCCCTCCCCATGACTGCGCCCGGGCTGTTTCTAGGAAGAGGTTTGGAAGGTGCCCTCCTTGTCTCTGAACGTCTCCCTCCTGGTGCTCCTCCAACGCTCCTGGAAAGGCCAAGAGGGGGTAGTCCCTGGGGGGTCAACCCTGGGGGCTTGGTCCTCTCCTGCCTTTTGAGGGGAAGGAGGTCAAGGGTCTGCCACGCAGGAGAGGGGGTATGCAAAGGCGCCTGAGGTGGGTTTGGAGCGGGAGAGGCAGGTGCATCTCTCCCCAGGGAGATTCCTGCTTGTGCTTCTCTCTGGCCCCCTGAGATGGGGTTGGAATCCAGACTGGCACCTGGAGACCTTGGCATACTGCCCTGCCCAGCAGGGTACTCAGGCCACAGCAGGGCAGCATGCCGCCTGTCTGCCTGTCCAGGAGGGCCCGCCCAGCTGAGCCAGAGGGTGGCTGGGAAGCTATGGTAGCAGGGAGCTGCCCAGCCCTGCCCCAGGGCCTGGGAAGCTGGAAAGGATACTGGGAGGAGCCCTGGGCCCCCAGCCATCACAGCCCAGGATCTTGGCTCTGGAGGGAATGCTTGACACTTAGGGACAGCCAGCTTGGCTGGGGACCTGGCCAAGGCCTGGGCTCCCGTGGGTCTTGATCTGGGCAGGGTCTGATCTGTGGTCCTCTGAGCCTGGCACCCTGAGTTGTCAGCAGCCATCCTGCTGTTTTGGCATCCTGGAGGGAAGGTGCAGCAAGCAGCCCTGAGACATTGTGCTTTTGAGGGTTTCCCAAAGCCCCCAAGCTTAAGGAATGAAAAAGTGGTCCCTTCAGTCTGCTCACTCATCCACCCTTCCCCAGCCCCCACTGCGGTGCCACAGTACCACAGCTGTCCCAGGCCAGCCCACACTTCCCTCCCAAGTGACCTCGAAACCCTCCCCCTCTTTTCTCCTCTGGGCCCAGGCTGGGCTTCCCAGCTGGCCCTGACCCATTCTGGAGGAGGGCTTGCACCTGGGAGCCCCATGTCTCGATCCACTTCTAGCTCTACTTGACCTTTCCTGCAGCCAGCCAAGTAAGGGACAGTGTCAGGAGGTTGGTCTGTTGGTTTTTTGAGATGGAGACCCCTTGGAAGGAGCCTTGTTTTCCTTGGCTTTTCCCCTCCCCCTCCTTTCCGGAGCTGCCATTAGTGCTGACCCCCTGTGCCTGCCCGCCCTTCCCTGTCTGTGACCTTTGACCTTTGATGTTAAATCCCTCCAGCTGGGGCTCTTTGGCCCCTGAGTGACCCTAGTCCAGGTCCCTTAGGGGGCCTCCCTGCTCCTCCTGGCTCTCTTTTCGGGACACCTGCCAGCCCCTCCCTCACCAATAGGGAGGGGGTATCCTGGGAAGCCAGACAGTGAGTGAGTCACCTCAATTCCAGGCACCACTGCTTTTGGGGTCAGTGGCTTTAGGGATTTGGTGGAGCCAGGCCACAGCCTGTAGAGTGAATGGGAAAAGCCTTTAGCCTGGAATTCTAAAGTCCTGGGTTCAAGTATCAGTGCCAGCACCAATGGACAGTCTCCTCCTGTCTCTTGGTCTCAGTGTCCTCATCTGCAAAACCAAGGGGTCAGGCAAGGTGAGCTATCTGAGCTCCACAATTCAAGAAAATACTGGGTGGGGGGTGGGAGAAGTGGAGAGTAAATCCAACAAAAGCCAACTTTCAATTATCTGTGGGTGGAGCCAGTATGAATAACTGGATGCCATAGACATCTCAAAACCTCATTTTAAACAATTATGTGAACTGAGTCCCCCTAAAGCTTTGTTTCTAAAAAGCCCAGCTGTGAACTAGTAGCCACAGTCATTTCTTTTGCCCAGGCTCCCCTTTCAGGAAGTAGGAGTGGGGATCCAGAGGGTGAACTGGTCTGCTTGAAGACAAGGTTCTGCACCAAGCCCCCTCTTTATGATCAGGAGGGAGGATGAACTCTTACTACAGAGGCCTCAAGATTCCTTCCACCCTTCCGTTGGCTTGGCCATGGCCCCAGACAATGGGAGGGTCTTTTGGCCACCTAATCCTTACAGGGTCTGAGCTGTGGTGTGGAGGCAAGAATGTGTTTTCCCCATATTTTCCTATGTGCATTTTTATCTACCCACTGGACTTGTCTGGAATCTGAATTTTATACTTCGATGAAGGAGTACAACCAGTACTAGAGAGTCAGGACAATCCCAGGATGAGGGAGGTGGGTAGCTGCAGTGATTGGGGGTCCAGATGTTGAGGCTGAGGCAGAGCTGCTCTTTGGGAGGTATCTACAGTGGGACTCTTTGGGAGGCCTGCTGGGGGTCGGGGAGGTGCTGCTGGTCCTGGCCTCCCATGCCTTTACAGCTTCCTGTATTCCAGGCAAGGCTAAGGAAGCCCTTTGCCCAAGTGGGAAATTAAGATTCCAGTGAAGCCCTGAAGGTGGGCTGGAAGGTGGGGGATGGCACAGGGCAATGTCTTTCTCAAGGCTGCACGAAGCATCCCTGAATCCCTCCCCTACTCAGGTTATGGTTGTTGTATTTCACAGCAGACAACTGAAGACAGGGGGGCCCCTTGAAGGTACTAGGAATGGATCCTCCCTTTACCCAGCTAAGCACCTCAGCAATGGGGATCTGTGCTGAGAAATGACCCTCTTCCAACTGGTGAGGTGTTTCTGGGACCAGACAGAAAGATACAGCTTCCTTTACTGTCTAGTTAATCTTCTCTCTCAGGAGCTGCAAAGGGTTCACAGATATGGGCTTGAGGCTCTGATATGTATCTGGGGATTCATCTACTGGAGGACATCAGGGCCAGTTGGGTGGTACACCCAACCCTGTAGTAGCTTGCTGCCAGCCCTGGGTGTGGGTACCACAGCCCTAGCAAAGCTCATGGGACACAGCTGTTAGCCCAGTGCTGTGACCCCACCCAGATAAATTCTAATCTAGGTGAGGACTGGGGTGGGGATGGGCATTTTCAACAAGTACCTGAACAAACTGATGTGCTGGAGGTGGGCCACTGCTTTGACCCCAGGAACAGAAAAGGACCTGGTGGTGCTGGCAATGTGGGAGTCTTCTACAGGGGCAGCCTGGGCTGACCCAGGTTTTTTTCCTGACTCAAATTTAGCCCCACTAGCTTCTACTGTCTCTAGCAAATAAAACTCCAGTTTTAGGTCCCTAGCTGGGTGGGTTAGGAGGCAATAGCATAAGTTGGGGGGTAGAACAGTGTTGGGGGAACACTTTCTAAGGACACTTGAAAAACATCCAACCAGGATAAATGCCTTCTGCTGGCCTGGTAGATTTTACAGAAACTTGCATCCCTCCCCGGAAACTGTTGGTTTAACCTTGTGTGAGAAAACCATTTATCCTTACTTGACAAATTGGGAAACTGAGGCTCAGGATGGAGGACAAATGGACTGTGATGCCTGGGAGGTCTGGTGCTTTGCTTTGCAGCCGGGGAGTAATGGAACCTGCTCTGGATTGTAGCGTGAGCTGCTGCCATGCAGCTGTGTGCCCAGGACCCCTGGGCCATCTTTTCCCTGGAGCTTCCCCTACCCCAGCTGTAGGCCTCTTCCGGGGGATATCAGGTGGGTGTTGAGACTTGGACCTCCTCCCCATTCTTGATCTGGGGCTCAGGGATCTTCGAAAGATAAGAGTTTCTAGGAGCCTGCTTCACAATAGGTCCTCAGGGAGTCCAGAGGTCCATCCTGAGAGACCTTTCTTGTGCTATTACAGCTGAGACAACTCCCTGTGAGCGTCCCCTTGCTGGGCAGGTGTACAGGCCTTGGCTCTGGTTTCTACTCCTGGTCCCTCAGAAAGGGTGAAGGTTTTGGTTAACTGGTGACCAGGATGGGAGGGGCCTGTGAGGCACAGACATGGGAAGTGATTCTGGGTGAGGAATGGGGGGCTTCCCATCTGCTCCAGATGCTCCTGTTGGTGGATAGCCAGAAGGGGCTGAGAATCTTCCAAGTACTGTCTGTAGGGGGAGGCAGCATGGGCTACCTTATGTTCTTTGTCTTTACTGCCTGAGAGGCCAGGTAGTGCCCACCACTGGGAGTGTGACAGCCTGTGAGTGTGACATGTACACACATGTGCCCCAGCCTTGGCAGATGGCTGCTAGGGAGGGAACTCAAACCCAGTCCCTGGTCCCTTCCTCTAGTCATGGCCAAGGACGAGTGGGAAGCTGGTCTAGGCCCCAGGAGACGTTGAATCGACTGAGTCAGCCTGTGGCTAGGAGCCTCCAGGAAAACAGTCCTGCCTGCCAGACAGGGTCTCTACTGGGGTACCATGTGCACACAGAATAGCGCCCCACTGGGACCCTGGCCATAAAGAGGCTGTCAGGGATTGCTGACAGGGAAATTGAGGTTCTAAGAAATTTGGGAGCATGGGGTCAGGGAGGGAAAGAAGGGAACTGGAGTCTAGGACTGTCTGTCTTACCCCTGAAATAACAGTTCTACCTAGAATATTCCTCACGTCCACTCCTTCCCCTGTCCAGTGGAAGGGCCAAGGGTATGGAGTTGTGTCTGGAGGAATCCTCTCTCCCTTGCCCTCGTTGTGACCCCCAGTCTGGCTGGCAGGTCCTTGCCTGGACCAGTTCTCCTCAGAGCCACACACTCTTATATGTGTACCATCAACCCCTACATTTTCAGGCACACTGACCTCAGCTGTGTTGTCCCCTCTCCCCAAGGCTGTAGGATCTTCCATCATTCTTCCAGTTGAGAAGTTTCCAGGGCTGATAGTCCCTTCCTGCTATGGAGGCCATGCTTCAGGGATACCCTGCTTGGTCCTGTGAACCGTGGACTCACAGGCCCCAGAGCAGGCCAGGTCTGGCAAGGCCCTGCCCAGTGGGTGTTACTCTTTAGAAGGAAAAGGATAAGGATGGGGTTGAAGGCTGCCCCAGCTCCAGGATTTGTTTTGTTGTCCAGAGTGGGTGAGCAGGGGTCGGCAAGGGTGGCATCCAGAGGTTGTGTGGTCCCCTGGCAATGCCTGGTCTTGCTTAGCTGACTGGGTTTTGATCCAGGGCTGGGTAGTAGTGTCAGGAGAGGAAGCTGGGCCCTTCCAGGCATCCCAAATGACCAAAACAATCCATATTGTGTCCTCCATCCCCAGTCTGTACCTGGATCCTTTGTGTCCCAGACAGGAGGAAGAGACATCTCTGCTGAGGGGTCCAAAAACCTTAAACTTGGGAAATCATTTCGCTCCTTAGGCCTCAAGCCCCATTGCCACCACCACAACCAGCACCAACCACACTTATCTATCTCATCTGAATGGTGGGGACAAGAAATTAACTAATTTATTCACTCAGTAAATGTTCACTGAAGACCAAGTGTTTAGAAGTAAAGAGAAGATGTGAGGATGCTATGTAAGGGGAGCAGGTAGAATGTTCTAGGATGTTTTCACTCCAGCTCCACTCTAGGCCAGCCCCATCCTTTTACAGTGGGGAAACTGTAGCAGGTATCACAGAGCCACTGTTGGGGAAGACACCCTGCCTTCAGCCTTGGGGATGAAAGCAGGTTCGTGGACACCTGGAGGAACAGCCTATGTATAGCTACAAGAGGTCAATCAGGAAAGACTTGCTGGAGAAGAGTATGGGGACAGGGAAGGCTGTGAGGCAGGAACTGGTTGATGCCTGAGAGGTGTGCCTCAGGCTCTCCAGAGACAAGGATGATAAGAAAAAGATGTGCTGAAGGGGAGGGCTCAAAACAATGCTCTGGCTTGAAGGGGCAGGTAGCGCTCAGCTGTGTGCAGCACTCCACAGCTTCCAAGTGCTGGTTCTGGCCCAGCCCTTCCCACTGCCTCATGAGCTTCCTTTTCTATTGCCTCTCCCTGAAGGCTTATGCAGCCTTAGGCTCAAAAAGATTTGGCTTTGGAATGAGAAGGTGAATCCCAGTTGTGCATCATTGGAGCTCTGGGACCTTGGTCAACTTCCTTGTCTGGAAAATGGGGAGAAGAGCATCTCATTCATAAGGCCAGCAGGATGAACCCAGATGGTATGTGAAGGTTATGCTGGCTGGTCCCAGCTTATGAAGGACCCTGTGTTCCCTCAGCCCTATGACTGCACTCCATGTTCATGTGGTTGATTGATATCTGCCCCCCAAACCTCAGTAGAGCAGTGCACCCTAACACTTTCTTCACTCCCCAGTGCTGGTATTCCCTCAAGACCTAGTTTCATCTGACTTCTCTGTCATGTGTCCTCATCCCCTTCTACCCTCCAGCGGGCCTGGTGTTGGAATACATAAATGAGACAGGCAGGAAAGGCCAAAGTCCGGAGCCTGCCTGACCCTTCTTGCCCTCTTAATTGGCAGGTGCACCCAGTGGCCAGGTGCCTGCCCCAGGGTGGTAGGAGGGATGGGTCACAGGCATGGGACCCCCTGGGACTTAGGTGTCTGGGGTCTGCCTGCAGCCAGACATAGTTTGGGAAAGTTTCCTTCCCTTTGGGGACCAGACCTTACATTATACTTCCTGCCCCAAGCATAAGCTCCTGAGTGTTGGATCATGACATTGCAATAGGGATGTGTTTGTGTATCGGTATCACACATGCATGTGCCTATGTGTCTGGGGATCCTAAGGATGACCAGTCACATCCTACAGGACACTGGCCAGTGTCTGGTCTCTTCCCAGAGACGACTGGTGTGTGCCTAGGTGTGCTGTCCACCAGAAGTAGCAGTGATGCCTGTGCCTAGCCTTGCTGGATGTGTGTCCAGCAGGGAAGTCTGGCTTCCCTGCTGCTGGCCTCTCCCAGGGATCTGGGCAGCTTGCTAGCCCAGCCCTGTTGTCCTTCCCTCCCGGCCAGGCAGGCGGAGTGGGGGCTGCTTGGCAGACTCTCCTTTGGCTGAGGCCCAGGTGTAGGCAGTGCTTGTGGCCCCATGTACTGCCCCCCCCAAACTGGGCAGACAGGAAAATACCAGACATAGTTGTGCAAAGGTGGCTGCAGGCAGGCAGGCAGCAGGGGGTGGGGGCCCCCTAATGGGGGCCCAGGCCACCAGGACTAGGGGAGGCTTTTGTGCCAGGCTTGCCCTGCAGCTGGGTCATGAAGTGTATCTGTATGAATGTACTGGGCTCCCAATTCCAGTGTCACCCTCTTTGCTGGCGTGTGACAAGGAAGCATATGTAGTAAAGGCTGGTGAGGGGTGTAGGAAGCCAGCCAGTGTTCCTTCCAGTTCCAGCTCTGTTTGAACTATCTTGGTGACCGTGGCAGGCCCAGGTTACTGTTTGGGGTATTTTAACCCCAGGACCCAAAATGGGTATCCTCAATGCTTCTAGTTGTTGGAGCCTTTCCAGCAGCAGGAATGGGGTCAAGATTTGTCCTGCAGGATGCCCTGAATCCCCGGGACCATTTACCTTGGTGCCTGAGTTACCAAGAGGAAACCAAGACAGAGTTAACAGGGACCTGTTTGAGGCACCCAGCCAGGTGTGGTGCAGGTGGCTGCAGCTAGCCAGCCTGCCTGGATTTGTGCTGTGAACTTGCAGTAGCTGGTGTTTCCAAGACACACATCGTTCTCAGATGTTGCTCAGCTGGGGACCATGTTCCCATTAGAGTATGGTGCTGGATGAATGCCCCCCTTGGGTGGGAGGGGCTTCCTGTGATGCCAGAGATTTCCAGGGAAGGCAAACACCTGGCCCCTCTTCTGGGGTCTGCTGGGCCCCGCTTCAGGGCTGCTGCTTCCTAGCCCTGAGGAAGGCCTCTATCTCTAGGCTGATAAAATCTCTCCAGCAGCTCTCAGTGCTCAGTCAGGCTCTGGATGGTGACTAGGGTCTGCAGGGGTCATACCACAAAGCAGCAGATACTCAAAGCTCTCTGAGAGGCATAGACTAGCCAATAGCCAAAGCTAAGGATCTCCCAGTTTGGTGTATGTGGTGGGCACAGAGGGGAGAGCCACTGTTCACTGAACTGTGGACAGCAATGGCGATAATTCACATGACAAGTTTTACTAAGCATCTACTATGTGCTTGACTCTATATTAGATGCTATCACATCCTATGAGAAACAGGAATGATTGGATGTGCAGTATTACATTGCTTTCTCTTCAAAACCCCATGTGGGATCCTATTATTTTTAGCATCCCTCCAAGGCCCTTTTCCATCTGATTTCTCCATTGTCCCCATTTTACAGATGAGGATGACAAGTCTCAGGACTTACAGCAGGAAGCAGCAAAGCCAGGTTGGGCCCCAGGTGGTCCACCCCATGTTTGAAACCCTGCTTTGCTGCCTAGCTGCCTGGTCAGGAAGGAAAGCCTATCTGGCCACCAGCCCCTGCTGCTGGGTAGCCAAGGAGGGTGGAGTTTTTGGCCAGAGTAGGGAGCCACAGCTGGTTCCCAGGAATGCAGGGTTGTGGGGACGTTTGCTCTGGCAGCAGTGCTACCCTCAGCTCTCCAGACCTCCTGGCTACCTCCCCATCCCCGTCAGCCCTTCCATCTTTTTTTTTTTTTTTTTTGGTACCAGGGATTGAACTCAGGGCTTTGTGCTTGCCAGGCCAGCACCGTACCACTGAGCTACATTCCCAACCAGCCCTGCCACCTTCTACCCAGTCTGAGTCTTTGTCCCTTCCCATGTCCAAAGGCCCAGGTCTGCAACAGACAAGGTATGTGACTCTAGACAGGTCACTTGATTCCTCTGTACCTCAGCCTTTGCATCTGTAAAGTAGGAATGAAACAGCACCTGTCTTACCAAGTGCTGGCATGTTGCTATCAACAGCTAGCTGTGGATGCTGTTATGGTTTTGTTTTGTTCTGTCTTTTTGAGACAAGTTCTTGCTGTGCAATTCAGGCTGGCCTTGAGCTCACTTCATAGCCCATGGTGGTTTTATTTTTTTGTCTTTTTCCTTTTTATTGGTACCAGGAATCGAACTCATGACTGCCTGCTTCCAAGGCAGGCGCTTATGCCGCTGAGCTAAATCCCCAGCCCCGGTGGTCTTGAACTTGGAACAATCCTCCTGCCTTAGCCTCCTGAGTGCTGGGATTACAGGTGTGCGCCACCATGCCTGGCTTCCTTTTCTGTTCCTGGGCTTGTCATTGACTTGTGCATCTGTAAGACCAGAATACTGAAGTGATGGTCCCTACCAGACTAAGGGTCGGTCACAGAGCAGGGCCTAAGTGACAGGTATAAGCAGACCAGGTTATGTCCCCTTTTGTTCAGTAAGACCACATGAACTTGTGAGAGGCTCATAGTATGTCCTCAGGACTCAGGCCCAGACCAAAGACGAAAGGCTGGGCATGGTGGTACATGCCTGTAATCCCAGCACTGAGGAGACTGAAGCAGAGGACTGCTGCAAGTTCAAGGTCAGCCTAAACTACCTAGTGAGTCCCTGTCTCAAAGCAAAACAGACTAGCAAGGTTTTTGTTTCCTGTACTGGGAATCAACTCAGAACCTTGCACTTGCCAGTCAAGCACTTATGACACTGAGCTGTGTCCCCAGCCCTCAAAACAAAACAGAATTCAAAGGGCAAGTCTTAGGAATATTTTAGGAATAAGAGATGTGCATCACATTACCCTTGACAACACTGATAAACTCAGCCACTCACCTGATCCCATGCTGCTGTAGGGTAGGCAGGGATATGGCCTCTTCTCTTACAGAGTACAACTCAGTTTCTGGCCAAGAGCCTAACCCCCAACTCATATGCACCTCTACCCCTCTAGGTTCAGAGCTAACCAACTGCCATTCTTTTCTGCTTGGGGGCTTCATCCAGAGCAGGATTCTACTTGGTTACTATCAAAATGATAACTGTTAGCCTCAGTTTCCCCATTGGGCCAAGCCTTCAGATTGGCAGGAGGGTGGGAATGGAGACAGTCCCGCCCAGGCCACCACAGCAAGCCTGGGGCCCTGCAGCTGGGGGCCCGTCTGCACAGTGCACAATAGCAGCCATTGTCTTCGCCCTGGTGGGGGGAAGCCCACCCTGGGGGGGCAGCCCACCCCTTGGGTAACCCCACCCAGGGGTGGGGGAGGGCTGTGCCCCATCCCCACTGCCCTGGTGGTCCCTACACCCCCTCATGCTTCCTCCCTCCCACCAACACTGCTTCCTTTCCCTCCCTCTTCTCTAATTAGTTCCTTTTGCAGCTGCAGGAGCTGCATAGCACTAAAGCCCAGTGACTACCTCCACAGCCTCCCTGTGGGGCCTTGCACGTGGGGGTGTTGTACAGTACACTGGCCATCTACGTCTTGACATCTCAGTCTGTCAGCCCTTAAGTCACTGATGGCAGCTCCCTGTCACTGCAGCAGAGTGCTGAGGCACATCATCATCCAACTCATGGGAAAACCATGGTACTGGAGGTTCTACTTTAAGGCATAGAGGGAATTGGTGTAAGCCATGCAGTGTACTCTGTCCTTCACACATTGGCACTGTAGCCAGAGAGAACCCAACTGTGCTTCTGTGCTCAGGGATTACACTAATCCAAGGAACAGATACACCTTGGGGCTGGGTCTCACACACATTGAGGAGGTCCCAGTCCAAGGCTAGTTAACCTTGCCCTGTTAGAATGAAGCAGGCAACTGCATCACCCTTCACCATGCCCCAATTATCCATTCTCTGACTCTCCCCTTCCTGAGGTTTAAGTCAGGTGGCATAGCTGGCTCTCAGGTGCTTGACTTCAGGCTTCTAGAACAGCAGGTACCTGGTTCTTGCTTTTCTTCTATAAAACCTCTGTACCCTCCAGAGCAGAGCTGAGCCTAGACCAGCTGCTGCCGCCTGGGGATAGGGATGGGACATTTGAGGTTGGCCAAGGTCAGAGCAGGAGAGGTCACAGGCTCTTTTCTCCCTGGGGGGGGGGGTGCTTCTCTCAGAGTAAAAAATTAGCACCAGCCTGCGGTGGGGGTGCTAGGAGGTATGGGCCTTGGTAGGTAGGGGCTCCTTCCTCTTTCCCAGGAACCAGAGGCAGTGTGCCTGGGCTGGACTCTGGCTTCCTTGGGAATGAACCCCTGCCTCCCTGGGCAGAACTCAGCAGCAGGAAGTTGGGGGGGGGGTCCCCTGGGGACTAGGCCTACTGATCAGGGGAGGCTCCCCTTCGCATCTTGGGGGCTGTGCCTGGTCCTACCCAGGGATGTAAGCTTTTCCTGGGGTCCTCCCCAGGTCTATGTAGGAGGCAGCATTCCCTAAAGATCCTAAACCAAAGTGACCCAGTGCCATGGCTTCTTTCCAGCTCCCTCTGGCAGTGGTGGTGGTAGGGCAGGTGGCAAAGGCTGCTGCTTGGGCAGTGTTGCCAGTGTCTCCTTGAATTTTCAGCTCCCAAACTATCCTGCCCTATGGTCCTGTTCTCCATATTGAGGGGCTAGGGTGAAGACAGGGGCTATGGGGAGGCTTGTGGCCCTGGGCCAGCATAAGGACCAGGCCACCAGCCCTTCCTGGCTCCTGAATTCTTAATCAGCATAAATATTTACTTCCTTCCTTCCCTTCCAGGCTCCTAGCACAGAGGAGCTTCAGGGAGGTTGGACTGGGCCTGTGTCTAAAAATAAACAGGTGGAAGGACAGGCAGACACACAGACAGACATAACTGTGTGTCTGTGGGGAGGAGGGATTCAGGCACAAGGTAGCTCCATCCCCTCAAGGAGAACAGAAGTGGGGCACCAAGGCCACTTATCCTTGTCATTCATCCACTTGCCAATTTGGGTCTGGGTCCTTGCACAAAGGGTGGCATGCTGTTCTCCACACCCCTTGTACTGCTGGAAGCCCCTTCCCGGGATGCCCTAACAGATCTGACCGCTTTAACAGGGTCAAGTCAGACCTGGGTCCCATGGGTAGAAGCACCTGGCTGGTTGTGCTTTGATGACATAGGCCAGGGAGGCTGGACAGTCTCCCTGTGCCCAGAGACCCCTTGTTAGCCATATGCAATGGAATCTGAGATGTCATGCAAGTAGAAAGTCTTGAGTGAGGGAAGGGACAATCTGATGTGTCTGTGGGGGCCCAGGGGAAACGATGACAGGGGCTGGGGACCAGGTAAAGACCAAAGTGTTGGCCTAGAGGAGGAGTGAGTGGGCATGTAGGGCTGACATACACCAGTGAGAGCATTCAGACAGCACCAAATTCATATGAGCCACTCTAGCACCCAAGGACATGGGGTATAGGCATTTCAAGTACTTTCCAAATGGTGGGTATGTCCACCATGTCCACCCTTTTATATTAAATTTAGTGAGTTACAGAATCTCACAATGACACTCGGTTAGCAGAGAGATTTTTCAAGTGTGCTAGTCATAACTAATGAAGACCAGGAACAGGAATTTCTCCCCCAGTGGGGGAAGAGATTACTGCTTGGAAAATAAAGTGTGAGTTTGGACAGGACAGTAGGTCAGTGGAACCCACAATTCCATTTATATGTGGACAGCTAACACCAGTGAGTAATTTCTTTTCTTTTCTTTTCTTTTTTTTTGTACCAGGGATCTAACTCACTACCAGTGAGTAATTCTATGAAAATGAAATTACAAAATAAGCCTGGTAGCACACCTGTAATCCTAGCAGTCTGGAAAGCTGAGGCAGGGGACAGCTTGGACAATTTAGTAATTTATCCAGTGTCTCAAAGTAAAAAATTAGAAATTGGGGGTGTAACAATATAAAAGCCCTGGGTTCAATGATTAGTACAAAAAATTATATCATGAAACTTAGAACATTATCACCAGTAAAAGATAACAACAACAAAAAGCCAATGTATAAATGATTTTTTAAAAGTTGATCTACTCTACCACGCCTGTCTCCATTGGACTGACCTGGCTAGTCCCCAGCTGCCCCCTGGTGGCCGCTAGGAGAAGCGCTCTCAGTGGTTTGTGGATGCTCTCTTTGGCTGTACCTGGGAGGTGGAACCCTTTGCCTGTGCTCCCAACTCTTCAAGCCAAGTTCTGTATGGTTTGTCTAGGACAGGTTCTTAGCCTAGCTTCCTTGGAGGTGACACAGTTGCTCGCTGGCCACAAGTGGGCACTCAGCAGTTAATAGCTTCAAAATACTAAGTGCCCTCTTGGAGGAAGGTTGTGGATGGAGGCTTGTTGTTCCCATAGTCTGTTTCTGGGTCTTTGGACTCAGACTGGACAGAATCCTCAGGTGAGGCTCCCCACTCTGTCAGAAGTGACAGATAGGTCTTGGCCGGCCAGTTCTGGAAGATCTATCTTTGAGGTCTTGAGATTGGTAGCTCTGCACACTTGAGGCACTTGTTTAAGTCACTTTTGGGCCGGGGATTTAGCTCAGCAGTGTAAGCACATGTCTGGCAAGCAAAGTGCCTGAGTCTGAAAAATCTCACTTTCATGGCAAGATGGAGGGCATGAATGCTGAATATGATGGTGCACACCTGTAACCCTGGCTACTCAGGAGGCTGAGCCAAAGGGTTATGAGTTCAAAGCCAGTCCTGGACTACACAGTGAGATTATGTGTGAAAAAATAAGATTGAAGGAAAAAGAAGTGGGAGGGAGGACTGGAGATATGGCTTAGCAACACAGTGCCTGCCTGGCAAGTGCAAGGTCATGAGTTCAATGCCTAATACCAAAGGGAAAATAAAAAGGGGGCTGGAGATATAGCTCAGTGAGAGAGCAAGCACTTGCCTAGCATGCACAAGGCCAAGTTTATTCCTCAGCACAGAGACAGACAGACACAGACACATGAGTATGAATGAACATGAGACAGACAAATGAATATGAATGAACAAGAGCTTAGCTCCCCAAGAGATTCATGGGGAGTAGATGCAGAACTGGTTCTCTTAATAATTCTGGCTGGCTAAAGCTATTCAGAGCATCTCCCTCCTCAGTTCCTGTGTGCTTTAATGGGTACAGTCTGAAGAGGAGCAAGGTCACAGTGTCACAGCATAGCCCATCCTTCTCCAGGTTCCTGCTTAAAGACCATTTGGTCACCCTCTTCTGCCTGCTGCCCCCTCTGACACTAAGCCCTCATCACCATGCATTCCTTGGACGAGCCGCTCGACCTGAAGCTGAGCATCACCAAGCTCCGGGTGGCGAGAGAGAAGAGGGAGAGGACACTGGGTGTGGTCCGGCACCGCACTCTGCACAGGGAGCTGGGCCTGGTGGATGATAGCCCCACACCTGGCTCCCCAGGCTCCCCACCTTCAGGTACTGCACAAGGCAGGGTGGGGGACTCAGATGGGCCTGAGCCATGGTGATAGTAAAGATGGCTAAGATGTGTACAGGACATAGCTATACTGTAGTCCCTTGCAGCTTTGGTTTAGAGTGTCACCCTATGCTTGTCCACTCATACTCCTAGTTTAGCTTTAGATAAGGGAGGCCACCCAGTTAATGTAGCTGGCATCAGGACACAAGATTCAAACTTGGGCCTCTAGGAGAATGTGAGGTAGTGTGGGGAGAGTCCAAGAGTAACAGCAACAGTCCCAAGACCTCACTTCCTAGACTTTGAGACTTTTATCAAACGATGGTGGAGTTTGGGGACCTTCAGCCCAGCAATTGTGTCTCAAAAGCTCGGTGCTTGTGTCCAGTATACAATCACCCCATGTGTTCTACATCCATGTGGACCTTGAAAACGGAATCTGAGTTGGAAGGCTTGGGAAGCGTGCAGCCCATACCTACCATTTTATAGAAGGGAGTACTGAGGCAAGAAAGGGCCTGGGAAAAACTATCACAGGGAGCCAGGTATCTTATGTTTTAGTTACTATTCTGTTACTCACCTTGTGTGGCAGACCAATCCCATCCATAAAATGGGTCCTATTTCCTGTCTTACTCCATGGCTGAGTTCTCATGAAGTACAGGTCAAAAACAATAAGCGATATCATCACATCACATCTATTAGCTGCATAGGTTGCTTCTTAAGTACCTGGGGATCCTTTAGTTTGTGGAGACACTGGAGACATGGCTGATGTCTGCTCCTAGGATTACAATGGAGATAGAGACCTTGCCCACCAGGACTTCTGGTTCCTGGCTCTAGCATCTCCTGAGTGAACTGTACCTTTCCTTTAGGCTTCCTGCTGAACCCTAAGTTCCCTGAGAAGGTGGATGGACGCTTTTCTGCAGCCCCTCTGGTAGACCTCAGCTTATCACCGCCATCTGGACTGGACTCCCCCAATGGCAGCAGCTCACTGTCCCCTGAGCGTCAGGGCAATGGGGACTTGCCTCCATTGCCCACTGCCTCGGTAAGAAGGGGTAAGGGTTGGTTAAGGGGTAAAGTGTATTGGTTTCTGGGGGCTCCGTGACAAGCTCTACACAACTGGCAGACTCAAAAGATCAGAAATGTGTTATTCTCTCATAGTTCAGGAAGCTAAAGTGTAAAATCAAGGTGTTGGCAGGGACAAGCATCCTTAAAAGTTCCAGGAAGAGAACCTTCCTTGCCTTTCTGAGCTCCTAATAGCTTCTGACACTCTTGGCATTCCTTGTGTGGTAGCTGCATTCCTGCAATCTCTGCCTCCATCTTCACATGACTTCTCTTGACTTGTACCTCTGTATGTGCTTCTGTGTCCATATTTCCCTTTCCTTCCTGTTATAAAGATACCTGCCACTGAGTTTAGGGCCACCCTCATCCAGCAGGATCTCATCTTAACTTGAACTTCATCTCCAAAGACTAAACTGCTATATAAAGTCACAGGCACCAGAACCTGAGGTTAGGGCTTAAATGTATTTTTGGGGGGACATTATTCAATCCACTCCAAAAGAGAGAAGGAGTTTGGGCTTGCCAGAGGGTCTCAACAGGGCACTAACCAGCTCTGCCCCTTGCCCTCTTATCCTAGGACTTCCAGCCACTACGCTATTTGGATGGCGTCCCTAGCTCCTTTCAGTTCTTCCTACCCTTGGGCTCTGGGGGTGCCTTGCACCTGCCTGCTTCTTCTTTCCTCAACCCCACCAAGGACAAGTGCCTCTCACCAGAGCTGCCCCTACCCAAGCAGCTGGTGTGTCGCTGGGCTAAGGTGAGTAGGGGTGGGAAAGAGTGGTGGGGCCCAGGGTGGCCATCCTGCTCAGACCCTGCCTGGCCCTGCAGTGTAACCAGCTCTTCGAGCTCCTACAAGACCTGGTGGACCACGTCAATGACTACCATGTCAAGCCTGAGAAAGATGCAGGCTACTGCTGCCATTGGGAGGGCTGTGCCCGCCATGGACGAGGCTTCAATGCCAGGTGAGGGAGCGGGAACAAGGGAAGGAGGGAGAGGCTGGGTATGCAGTGAGCTTAGTGCCTCCATGCCCTCCCTGGAGCAGGTACAAGATGCTCATCCACATCCGCACACATACCAATGAGAAGCCACACCGCTGCCCAACCTGCAACAAGAGCTTCTCCCGCTTAGAGAACCTGAAGATCCACAACCGGTCCCATACAGGTGAGAGATCACAGGAGTCTCAGTCCATGAAGGAGGGCTGGACAGGTTGGAAGCAGTGTCAGGGATCTCTAAAGCAGGACTGGACTTTAGTGATGAAGGGCAAACTAGATGTTAGGATATGCCTACAGTTCCAGCTAACTGGGAGGCCAAGGCAGAATGACTGCTTGAGTCCAAGAGTTCTAGGGCAGCTTGGGCAAATATAGCAATACCCCATCTCCAAAAAAATCCAACCACCACCACCAAAAAACCCACTTGTTTCATGCAGTCTTTCCTTGAAGCTTGGTGTGTATCTTACCCTCTCACAGCACATCTCTATTTGGACCAGCTGCATTTCAAAGGTTCAGTGAAGTTGTAAAGATTCAGTTAGTTTGAACTATTTGGTGAAAGGCTACCAAATAAAAAGGGTAGCCAGCACTTAGTACTCTCCATCAGCCAGGCCTCTGCAAAACCTTTGTATAACTTTACAGAGACTGCTCAAAATATACAGCACATTTAAATAAAATGAATTGTTACAGCTGGGTGCAGTATATATGTCTGTAATGCCAGCACTCAGGAAGCTGAGGCAGAATCACCACAAATTGAGGCCACCCTCGACTACACAGCAATTCTCTCTCAAAAAAAAAAAAAATTACTATAAACCTCTTCTCAAAATATTCTTCCTCGCTTTGGCCATACTTATCCCATCATTCCTGCCACTGTTTGAAGCAGTTCTGGAAGTCCAGCTGAAGTCTTCTTCTGGGAGTGTCTTGAGTGTGGTAAAAAAAAAAAAATTAAAAAAAAAATATATATATATATATATAGGGAATGCGCCTACTGAGCACTATCCAACAGAAAGGCAGGCTTGGAAAAAGCTGTGTCCCCATGAACCTTATTCATTGGATATGGCACCAAGTGCTTCTGGCTCTTCTGCAAAGTCAAAATGATCATGAAAGGTAAATGTTTTGAATTAATTCAGGACACTGAAGTAGCCACAACAGTTGAACTAAAGACACTCATGAAAGAGGTCTTCTAGAACTTCTTCAAGAAGTGGCAAAAACAATGGGGTAAGTGTGTTTGAAGTGAGGGGCAGTATTTTGATGGAGATTAGTGGCAATGTGCTTTTTACTATTACAGATTTTAAAATGGTTAACATTTAACTGTATTTTTTGATCAGTACCTATGATCTCTTAAGGTCAAGTTCTGTCCAGCAAAGTTCACCTAATCTGTAGCACCAGAACTGAGGCATCCATAGCAAGGACACAGCAGAGAGCTGGGGCCTAACCATGCTGGGTTCCTCCTGCTACCCCTACCTGGGTCTGATCTTGGGTCAGGTGCTAGGGATGCCCCCAATCAGACAGCAAGTGTTCTAGGTGATTTGGGGTAGGGTGGGGCAGTGAACAGTGTGAGTAAGGGGATAAGACCCCTCACATGACCCACTCCTGCAGGTGAGAAACCCTACATCTGTCCCTATGAGGGCTGCAACAAGCGCTACTCCAACTCAAGTGATCGCTTCAAGCACACTCGCACCCACTATGTGGACAAGCCCTACTACTGCAAGATGCCAGGCTGCCATAAGCGCTACACGGACCCCAGTTCACTGCGCAAGCACATCAAAGCCCACGGACACTTTGTGTCTCATGAGCAGCAGGAGCTCCTACAGCTGCGCCCACCCCCCAAACCACCATTGCCTGCCCCTGACAGTGGCCCCTACGTCAGTGGGGCCCAGATCATTATTCCTAACCCTGCTGCCCTCTTTGGAGGTCCCAGTCTACCTGGCCTGCCCTTGCCTCTGGCCCCAGGTCCCCTTGACCTCAGTGCCCTGGCCTGTGGCAATGGTGGGAGTAGTGGAGGTGGAGGGAGTATGGGCCCTGGGCTGCCAAGCCCTGTTCTGCCCCTCAATCTGGCTAAGAACCCACTATTGCCCTCCCCGTTTGGGGCTGGTGGACTGGGCTTGCCTGTGGTCTCCCTCCTCGCTGGCTCCGCTGGCGGCAAGGCTGAGGGGGAGAAGGGTCATGGATTGGTGCCTGCCCGGGCACTGGGTATAGAGGGTCGCAAGACTCCCCTTGAAAGGACGGAGAGCAGTCGCTCCCGGCCAAGCCCTGATGGACTCTCCCTGCTGCCGGGCACTGTTTTGGACCTGTCCACGGGCGTCAGTTCAGCAGCCAACAGCCCAGAGGCACTAACCCCTGGCTGGGTGGTCATCCCACCAGGCTCCGTGCTGCTCAAACCAGCTGTGGTGAATTGAGCCTGTCTGCCCAACTATGCAGTGCAGCCAACAACTCCAGGCCCCTGCCCTGACAAACAGAAACCCCTCTGTGAAACAGCAATAATGTTCCACTACCCTGGGGCCTGGTGTTTTGTGCTCCCCAGGCAGCTGCAGCCTCAGATGAGGTGGCAGCAGGGATGGTGCTAGGAGGTCAGTGCTGGCCTTCCAGCTCTCAAGTGAGGACCTACCATCCAAGGAGAGCCATGCTTTTGGGTGCTGCTCAGGCCTCACTCACCTCTGGCCATCTTGCCCCATAGTTTCTGTGAGGCCCACTTCTGCCTGTCCTCCCCCCTCAAACCTTCTTGACCTCCTATTCTGGTGCCTCCATCTTGTGGCTGACTTGGGCAGGTCTCCTTTCCTCCCTGTATTGCCCACTTGCCAGCTAGGGGCCAGCAGAGACTGCTGTCCAAGTCTCAGCAGTGGGGTGTGTAGGATAGTATCTACCCTGCCTGCTGGTGTCAGGCTCCTTTAATGTGAGCCATAAGGAGGAGTCCCCAAGGATCAGAGGTCTCACCCCCATCTAGGCTCACCTAGCCCCAGCTCCAGGTTCTTGACTCCTTTCCCTCTAGCCCAGCCCTCTGGAGGGAGAGCAAGATAGACGCAGGCCCAGCTAAGCCACAGGAAGATGCCACATTCTCCCTGCCTACCCCTATGACAAAGTGCCTCCCTGACTACTAGAGAGGGAGGCCTGCTTGGTCAGCTGCCCCTACCCCTATGCCCAGCCTAAATCAGACAGCAATGGCAGAGGTTGGCCACATTAGAAAGAGAAGAGATAGCTGACCATTCATCTGTCCCTGCCCCTGAATCTCTTCCCTCTACCTTTTGGGCACACTGGAAGTATGGGAAGCAGGTCCAAGGGATCTAGCCCTCTGGCCCAGCCTGGGCTTTAGCTTCCTTAGCATCTGAGGCTGCTGGGTAAGGAATGTACATAACCTGAGAAATACACCCTGCAGGAGACTGACTGGGCCACCCCAGGCTGGGAGGTAGCTCCAGGTCTGGGGGTACCAAATCATACCAGGTAGGACCTAAAGAGATTTCTAGAGGCTATGGACTGAAGGTCCTGGGCTTACAGGAGGACAGGCCACCAAGGATGCCTGCCTGGCCCCTCTACTGGAAAACAGCTGGCTAGAGGAAGGACCCTTACTTGTGACAGGATTGCTTCCTGTAGTTTTCCCTAGCTGAGCTCTTCCTAGAGGCAGTCTCTCCTCCACTTCCAGCCAGCTGCCCTATGACTTGTGCTATTCAGAATAGGGTCTAGCTGTTCCGCAGGGGTCAGAATAATTCAAGGACGCTGGAGATGTGTGCTCCACAGGCCCACTACCCAATCCCAGGAATCTGGGCCCTGCAACATACCACGCCTCTTGCTGTTTCCTTCTCTGCCAGCAGCTGGGAGCTCTGGCTTCTAAGAAAGCCCTGCCACTGACTGCAGAGTGATCAACCCCTTTTACCTGTCAACTAGAACAAAAGAGCTTCCAGGTGGCAGTGAGGTCCTCAGTATCCCTGAAGTTCCTCTGAGCAGCTCTGCTGACCCCACCCTTTGCTGGACTGCCCTTCTGTCCCAGAGGGGTCACCCTGATCTGGCCTGCCTGGCTGATGGGCCTAACAGCCCAATCCTGACAGGGCCTGGCCACGTTAGCTCTGCCTCTTGAAGGGGCTGTGAGCAAATAGGAAGGAGCTGGTCTCCTTTTCTTGGGCCCCATCCAAGACCCAAGCAGTCCCCTATCCCTGTCAGAGTCCCAGGCCTTAAGTCCCTGGTTAGGGGACCATGGGTTTGGGACTCAAGCCCAGGAGCAGAGGAACAGGGCACTGGAAGGTGACATTAGCTCAGCATGTGATTCTGTGATAGACCAGGCTTGGAAGGGCCAGTGAACTTTTGTTGTTGTCAGTTTGTTGTTGCACATTCCAGGATATCAGTATTTTAACAGGTTCTAAGTGCCTTTCTATTGTAGCTTATGTTTTTCCTCCTCTTGGCTCCATTGCTGTTAGCATAGAGTTTAAAAAAAGAGATAAGCTAATGACTATAACAATATATTCCTCCATGTGAGAGGAAGTTTATAAAGAAACAATAAAAGTAAGTTGCGAAGATGGTTTGTGTCTCATGGATGTGCCTGAAGCTGGGCTGCCTGACCCCCTAGGCTATCCTATCCTGACTGGCTATGGTTTCTCCCAATTATAGAGCCACAGACCCCAACCAGTGTCTTTCTCCTTGACCCTTCAGGTGCCACTCTCACCTGTGACCAGCAGTGCTTGGGAGGGGACAGGTGGCAAGAGCACAGACAGAAGATTCTGGGTTAAAGCACATTACAAGTGCCACTGTCTGCCATGAGTGCTAAGTGGCACCTCAGTCCCGTGAACTTAATGCTGAGCATTCTGCCCAGCTCTTCATGATGCCAGAGTCAAGCCTCACCCAAGTTCTCTACCCTGAAGGGAGGAAGGCCTAAAGGTGTCAACTGGGTTGCCACCTGGCAGGGCACAGGGAGGAGTCAGACATTGTGGGTGGAGGAGTTCTGTGACAGGTCTCACATGGGCCATTTGCCAGTCCTATCCTCACCCCTCCACCTGGACTACCAATGGTTTCTGCCTCCTATCCCAGCATAGTTGTACAATGCCTACAAAAGCAGAAGGAGCAGCCTGCCTCCTAGATTTGGGATACACGCACAGGAGAAATGCAGGAAAGACATTTATTACCAAGCTATAAATTAAGAGGCGGTGGTGTGGGGTGGGGTGGGGTGAGATGAACAGTCATGTTTGCCTTTTCTCTCTGTCCTCCTGGGCCTGGATTCTGAGTTCCTCATCCAGGCGCTCCTTTGCACGGACGACCTGGGGGGGGGGGGTTCAGGGTATCAGGCTCTGGCAGAGCCTCTGCCCTTGCCCCTTTGCCTGCATGGCTGGTCTCTTCCCTTCCCTCTGTGGAGGGCAGTGGGTGGGGTATCAACAGCTCCTTTAGCAATGTCCCAGGGGACTGCTTCTCAGCCTTTTGGCTAAGATCAAGTGTAGCAGTACTCTGGGGTGAGAGGCAGTCTGTGGATAGTCCCTCTTCCAGGGGAGCCCAACATTGGACGTCTGTACTGCTGCAGCCAGAGTGTAGGTCTTCATACACTACCAGCAGCTGGCTCCTATTCCTTCAAGGTCCAAGCTGCTGAGAAGGCCACTGTTTCCTCAGCTGTGCCCTATGGAACTAGGGTTGCCACAAGGAGTGGTAGTTTGGAAGGTCCTCACTAAGGGTGGGGAACCAGGGGAAGAAAGGCCTGTCAAACATATATGTACCAGCTGCTGTACCTCGAAATGAGGGCCCCAGTGAAAAGGAGGTTCACAGCTTACCTTCTTGCAGAATCAAAGAGCACTCACCTTTGACTGCAAGTAGAAGGAGCCACCCACGGATTTATCATTCACTTTAAATAGGTGTTCATAGTTCTGTGGCAGAAAGGAGATGGTGAGCAAGTTTACAGTCTTCAGAAACACCAGGGAAGCTAACAAGGAAGTAAAGCTAAATAGACCTCTGCATCCTACATGCCACACTATTGTAACTCTAGAAGCTGCTCTGACTGCTTAGGGTCAGAGATAGGCTCAGCTATTCTCTCAACCGCCCTATGTCTTTGCAACTGCTCTGCTTGGGCCTAAAACTTAAGCCACACTGGCAATCTCCAGTGGCTACAATCAGAGCCTCCATACCCACCAACCTTTGCCAGCTCCTCTCCATCCCAACTTCCAGAAATCTGGTAGCCTCACCTTCTGGATTTCCTCTGCACTCAGCTTGGAGATGTTGAGAATCTGCTGGGCCTCCTGGAGACTGAGGCCAGAGAGGTTGGATGCAGCTGCAGACTGGTGTCCTGCACGTCCCCGGGCATCAGCTGCTGCCCGACTAGCTGTGTGGACATGTGGGTGATCACTCTGCCCTCAGCAACCCAGAGCTCCTGGGCTTTCCAAGTGGGTGGCTCACCCCTGCCAGGTGGCACAGAAGAGACGCACAGGGACAGAGGTGACCAGGAGAGGTTCTTGTTCTCTAGTAGTGGCTTATTTTTTTTGGCTAGAGGTGGGTGTCATGGTAAAGTGAAGACAGACATGCCTCACTGGATTAATGATCAGGACAAGATCTGACCATAAATCCTAGCTCCTGAGCTTGGTTTGGTGGCACAAACCTGTAATCTTGGCACATAGGAGGTAGAGGCAGGAGGACTACTATAAAGTTCCAGGCCAGCCTGGCCTACAAAGTGAATTCAAGACCAACCTGCATTACAAAGTGAGACCCTGTCTTGAAACAAAACAAAACACCTGGCTCTTGGTCCCCAGTCTAGATCACAAGATGACCTTGTACCTCTTTTTCCCCTATCCCTTATCTCAGGGACACAACAAATTGGGGCCTTTATGGTAATACGGGGACCAGACAAGAGTGAAGTTAAGAGCAAGTGGAGAACAACAGCTTGGCCAGTACCTGGCTGTACAGCAGATACTCAGACCACCAAACAAACTGCCTTGGGTTAACTGTTTCAGTGACCCTAGTCAGGAGCTAAACTTTTCCTTAAAAAATCAGATAGTAAATATTTTAACTTTGCAGCCAAATAATCTGTACTTCCGTGCAAGCAGCCAGAGGGTATGGCTATGCTCTAATAAAACTTTATTAAAACAGGTAGCCAGGTGAGCCAATTGCCAACTCCTGCCCTTGATGCTCATGTTAACCAGGTGTCAGTGAAAATAAATCTTCTCTTACATAAGAAAGTCCCAAAATTGGACAGTGCTCCCCCCCCCCCAGCCTGGAGAAATACCCCATGCTGCCCAAGCCACAGACCCTCAGCCCACAGATGGAGCCCTGCATTCACAGCCAGCCCAGCCTATAGGGGAAATCAGACCTGGAGAGGAGCTCCCAGCCCAGGGGAAAGATGAGCCAAAGCTTACCTGCAAATTCCTGCCGCAAGGCTCGAGCAAAGGCTCTACCCACCACCTGGGCGCCCATCACAATGATCTGGGCCAGGTACTTGGCCTGTGGGCAGAGCAGGCACCTGGTCAGCAGGCTGCATTCCCAGGGCCTTGAAAGGTAGTACCCATCCTAGTGGCAAGTACCCATCCTTGTCAAGTGGCAAGACTGCTGGAGAGCTGAAGGCATGAGGCACTGAACTGTGGCCACAGCCCAAAGCCCAGATAAAAAAGTTTCTGCTGGTAAGGTGGCAGAGGTCAGTCTCTGGAGTCCCAAGAGTTAAGGCAGTCCTCCCATGACCTTCAGGAAAGGCAGAGAGGAGCCAAGACGGCATGGGTGAATATGGAGAGCACAATTTAGGAAGAAACACTGCAGCCTGGCAGGCAGGACAGTCATTTTCCACTCCAGGGACCCAAACAGCTTCTCTTGTGCTTCTGAGATTGGTTGTTATCCATTTCACCGGGGGTGGGGGGTGAGGGGGAGTGGTGGTGGTGGTGACTTTCTCCAGGACTATTCAAGTCCTATACTTGGGAGTCCATTCCAGTCAACACAACAAAATTACTAGCATTCACTTAGAGAAGACTGTCTCCGCTTGCAGGAGACAGAAGCTTACAAGAGGATAGTTAGACAACCGCTAAGGACTCAGAAGATAAGACAGTATAGCTACTTTATCGCTTCAGCCACTGGGTCAGCCAAGTCACTCAAACACTGGTTTAGGGCCTGTGTTTATAATGCTCTCTGTTCAGCATTTGAGTACAATGACATACAGAACCTGGTCTCTACCATCCGAGTTGGCCACACTCACACAGCCTGGCAGGAAAATTGGCTGCAGCACAGCAAGATTATGCAGACCTTCAACTTTTGATTCAATATTCCATGATGGCACCCAGGGAATTTTGTCTAAGATGAGACCAGAGGTACACAGTCAACAGAGGGGGCACTTAGTAACAGGACATAGGTGCTGGGAAAAGACTACTTTCCTTGAGCTAGGTTCTAATGGGACGATAGAATTTTGAGAGTACATTAGGGCTTTGTAGGCACAGGAACAGGGAGGAAAAGTATAAGGGACATCTGGGGAGCAGCCAATAGCCCGAACTGGCAGGAGATAAGCAAGGCAAATAACATGAAAAATCATACAGATCTTATTGTAAAATAGAAGTAATATATAGATAGCATGTATAAAAAAATGATCTACTAGGAGACCAAGGCAGGAGAACCTCAAGATTGAGCATACAAGACTGTTTCAAAATATTAAATAAATAAATAAATAAATAAAGCAATGGAGGGGAGTGGGTCAACAGGGATATAGCTCAGCTGCGTAAGTGCCGGCCTGGCAAGCACAAGGTCCTGAGTTAAGATTTCTGGTACAAACAAAACAAAACAAAAAAACACATGGGGGAGGAGGGTTCTGGGAGCCAAGCATGATGGTGCAGGCCTCTAATTCTACCACTCTGGAAGGCTAAAGCAGAATTCCCAAATTCAAGCCTAACTTAGGTAACACTGCAAGACTATCTCAAAATAAAAAGCATGAGCTAGGTTTATTAGCACATACTTGTAATCCCAGCACTCTCAGGAGGCTGAGGCAGGAGGACTACCATGAGATCAAGGTCAGCCTGGGCTACAGAAGCTAGTACAAGGCCAGCCCGTACTACATAGCAAGACTGTCTCAAAAAAAAAGTACTACAGGGTTGAAACTAGCTTAGAGCAAAGGCCCTGGGGTTCAATGCCTACTATTCAAAAATAAAAAGATCCCAAGTCTGTGAAAAGGGTATAAGTAGGGGCACAGAGGTCACTCAAGCATACTCACTGTACTTTTCTTGTATGTCCCTGCAGTTAAGATTTCCTGTCAGTATTCACTGAGCTTGTGTGCAAGTGCTGTAGACATGTTCTATTGTTTGTGTCCTCTAATCTCAGTAAGTCCAGGGGTTTAGTGACCAGCCTGAGTACACATGGCTGGAACTCAGGAGTGGGGAGGGGGAACTCAGACCTAGTATACTGGCTACTGCCTCCACAGGATCCTGGGGCTTGGGAGGAGGCAACTGAGCAAACTAACCAATATCAGGAACACACTGCAGGCCAAAGAGGGCCTGTCAGATTCCAGTGGAGTCCAGACTCTAGTAAAACTGGCTTCCTTTGGCTCCCAGAGTCCTGCCCTTTCCTAACAGGCAAGATGTGATTATGGGCCATTAGGAGAATGAATAAACAAGTGGATTGCCATTTCATATAGGTAGAGATTTCATAAGCCCTGGAGATTTCATAAACCCTACATTTCACACTAGAAAGCAAATCTCAGAGAAGAACCTTGTGTGATCAAAGGTGGGCAGGTCTGCAGTCAGCTGTGTTGCAGGTGTAAGTAGTAACAGGGCACTTGCTTATTAGTTATCTCACCTAAGAGATTCTGCCCTCCTTTCCTAAAGCCACTCCCAAGCAGGACGAGAGGCTGAGATAGGCTGGTCCTGTCCGACAGGCCATCAGTGACACCAGAGGGCTTTTTCTTTTTTTTAAAAATTTTTTAATTTTTTTAAAACTTTTTTGGTACCAGAAATCAAACTTAGGATGTCACACTTGCCAGGCAGGCACTGTGCCTCTGACCTGTATTTCTGGCCCCAGAAGACTTTCTTTTACCTGGAATACCTTTTGAGGTGATCTCATCTTCTACCAAAAGCCTCTGTTCCTCTGCTGCCAGACATGGCTTTGTAATCACTGGCTTACCTTTCTGCTGAAATAATGCATGTTAAAAATTGAGGTGCTGCCCAATGTGGTAGTATACACCTGTAATCTCAGCACTCTGGGATGCTGAGGCAGGAGGATCAAAAGTCTTGAGTCCAGCCTGGGTAGTTTAGCAAAATCCTGTCCCAAAATAAGGTAAATATTTACACAAAGAACTACAGCTGAGGTAGGGGTATAGCCCAGGTAAAGCACTTGCTCAGCATGCAAGATCCCCAGCACTAAAAAACAAAACAATTTAAAAAAATCACACTTGAGGCTATAATTGGGAAACTTCCCCAATCACCCCCATTCACTTCAAGTCAAAGTGGCATAGTAATCTGCAGTTCCACTGTCCACAGCTACCTGGCTATGGAGAGGCAGGACTGACCTGTAAAGTTTCAGCAGCTGTGTGGGCAGTGTAGTATAGCAGTTATACAGGAAGGCTTTGGGCTTTCCTTGTGTGCAAATCCTGATTGTGTGGCCCAGGACATGTTCCCAACCCCCGAGACCATCTCATCACCTGTAAAATGTGGAAAACAGTATAGCTGTCACAGAGATTAAATGAGATGATGCCTAAAAGGTGCCTGACAAAGTCTAATGATAAGGTAGGTATCAATTAGATGTTTCATTTATTACTGTTGGATTCATAAAACCTAGGAATGGCCAAATAGTATGGAGTAAAAGATTTTTTCTAACATAGTAGCCCCTTGCTTCTTTTTTTTTGAGACAGGGTTTTACTATGTAAGACAGGTTGGCCTTGAACTCACTTAGGTAGTTCAAACTGGCCTCAAACTTGCAGCAATTTTCCTGCCTCAGCCTCCCAAGTGTTGGGATTACAGGTGTGCAACACCACGCACAGGGCTACAGAAGCTTATTTGATATTGTCCCTTTGAGTGCTCAAGGGTAAAAGCTGCAAAACACAGCATTATTCCCTAGAGAACTGAGAAAGCAGAGAAACAAAGGAATGATGCTGATCCAGACTGGAACCCAGCTCTGCTTCTCAAGAGCTACATGGCCCTGGGAAAACTACTCAACCTTTCTGAACCTCAATTTTCTTACCTGAAAAATGAAGTACATAATACCCTCCTTATGGGAGATAATACATGTAAAACCAAGCAGGTTCCATGACAAGTTCATAACAGCTTTGCTTCCAGACCAGACCCTCTTTGGTATTAGTGGTCTGGCAATTGAGCAGCCAAACCTCTCATCTACCTATATGAACCCAAATATTTCCTAAGTACTGACTCTGAGTCAGACAATGCTCATAGCTAAAGATCTGTGGGGAGCTGGGATCTTCCTGCTGCAGCTACCATAAGGGACTGAAACAGCAACTGGACTTTGTATCAGCCTGAGGGCTTGCAGCTCTGCTTTGAAGGAACACTATATTCCACACAGGCCTGCTAGAAAGCTGGGCTTGCTCCTTTTTTGTTTCCTCCCCACACAGGGCCTTGCTATATAGTACAGGCAATTGAGCAGCCTGTACCCCAAACCACCCCATAATTAATTGATTCTTAGACCTTAGGAAGATCCCAGGCAAGAGCAACAAGCCTATGTGGTGATAAACTTCAAGTGGAGAGCAAAAGTCAGAATCACAGGACCCCAACTCTGGACTCACCATGGGCAGCACATACAGTTATTATCTAGGGAGCAAGTTGGCACAATGCAGCACTCAAACCCACAGCTGGGGTAAAGGACTACAAACAGCACTGTGGTGCATCCAGACTTATGTCTTAAAAGTAAATCAGAAAAAAAAAAAAAAGGTAAATCAGGTGTGGGGGCACATGCCTGTAATCCTAGCATTTAGGAGGCTGAGGCAGTACAACTGCTGGAAGTTGGAAGCCAGCCTGTACTATATAGCAAGGCCATGTGTGGGGAGGAAACAAAAAAGGAGCAAGCCCAGCTTTCTAGCAGGCCTGTGTGGAATATAGTGTTCCTTCAAAGCAGAGCTGCAAGCCCTCAGGCTGATACAAAGGCTGTCACTGAAATGCATCCTTCTGAAGGATGCAACAAGACTGGACAGAAGACTGGTCACCTAGGGTGCCTGCAAACAGCTGCTGGCATCACACCTGAACAGCTGGAAAGTCAGGACTACAATTATGACATCTGCCCCAGTATTCCTGGAGCCCTAGCACTGGCCTGTACAGCAGGTCTCTATCATGAACTCAAACAAGTCTGGCTATCAAGAATCCACATAACTAAGGGGCTGAGGATTTAGCTCAGCAGCATAAGCGCCTGCCTTGCAAGCAGGCAGTCGTGAGTTCAATCCCCGGTGCCGATAAAAAAGAAAAAGACAAAAAAAAAAAAAGAATCCACATAACTAGGCCCCCCTGGGGTCTGCTCTGCCCAAAGCTGTAGTTTCAGAAACTCTTATGTCCTCAGACAGTGTTTCCAAATGCTTCTCTAGCTGAAGGCTCTGGGAGCTCACAGTACATCTATTGCTGCCTGCAGATTCAGCTGACACTTCAGCCTGGCATTCACACCTCTCCATATTCCCTCGACTTTTTTCCTGCCCCCCCCATCCCCACTCTTAGAACAGCTCTCATATTGAATACTCCACAATGCCTTTACTACTGAGTCCTTTAACTCTCTCTGGATTCCCCACCCCAGCCTGACACTGTGAAGACCCAAACATCCTTGAGGTCTTGGCTCAACATGTTGACCTCCTCTCACCAGTTCTTCACTAACACAGTTTCTCTTCCTGGAGAAGTGACTAGAATGACAAAATTGAGGCTTCCCTTTTTAGAGACTTGTGTCACCAAGTAAGGCTGTTGGTACCCAGCTTCCTATCTCTTTCTTAAAGTATTATAGGTATCTGAGACCTAAAACCTCATCCCCTACATGAAATTTTCTTAAGCTCCTCCCCATAACATTTTTTTTTCCTATCAACGTACTGTTATATAGTCTTATTTTACCAATTCACTTCCTTTCTCCTTTAGGATACAAATTCCTCTAGGGCCACATTTTATTTGGACTTGGCAGAGGCTCAAAGTTCAATGAGGGAATACAAACCAAGGAGCTGGTTCTGTAAAGGATCACTGTGGGTCCTCAATAAATAACCACAAGACAGGAGTAATGTGGTGGCAAATGTAGCCTGGGGACACAAAACGCTGGGCTCAAAAATCAGGGCCTGGTTCCTGGAAAAAACGACCCTGGAAGAGTCAAGATTCTAGCTTCAGGTTTCTTATGTGTAAAATAGGGTCAAGGATGGTATGACTTCATTATGAATTCAATGAAAATCTACACAAAGCCTCATCTCAAGGCCTGGAGCTTGTAAGCACCTAATTTCTAATTTATCCTCCTCCTAAGTTAAGAGGTTCCTAAACAGACTGCATCAGAATCACTTGGGGAACTTATATATAGGGCCTCCAGAAACTGGTCAAAGACTTGCCTTTTAAATTTTTATTAAAATTTTTTTTTATTATTTTATTTTTGAGACAGGATTTAGCTAAATCGCTAAGTTACCCAGGCTGGCCTCGAACTCACCATTCTCGTGCCTCAGCCTCCCAGACCTGCTCCCCAAACCCTCGACAGGGTGTCTCTATGTAGTTCAGGCTGGTCTCGAACTCTCAGTGATCCTCCAGCCTCAGCTTCCCAATTGCTGGGATTGCAGGCGTGCGCTACCGCGCCCAGCAACCTATGCCTTTTCAAAGCTTCCCAGCTGGCCTGCCAGCGTACAGGTCTGCAGACTGGCTCTCAGTGCCACAGGTAACACTAAAAGGCTCCATTTTCCATGCCTGCGGATCAGTTCAAAGCCAGGTATACTACTCCACTGGATAGTTGACTATAAAACGGAGATAATAAACGGCAAACCCCATGGACTGCGCAGAACCCCAAGGCTCGGGGGCTGCCCATCCTCCACATCCAACTGCCCAGGGCTGCTCGTTCTCAAGAGGTTGGCCACACGGCTACCGTGCCAGCCAGGCGCTCCCGGCCCACCACCTCAGCCCTGCAGCCCAGCCCCGTAAAGCTGGCCAAAGGGTGCCGCGCCGCTCTCGCCTGCTTCCGCCGCGGTGCGACTCCCCTAGACCCTGCTTTTTGCCGCGCACGAGGGAACACAGTTCTCTCAGCCTAGCCAGCGCTCACAGCTCGACGCGTCTCCCTCTCTCCTTCCCCTTCCCGGGCCAGTGCCCGTCTCAGGCCTCACCATGGCGACTGCTATGCGTCCGGGCCGCGGGCTTGGGCTTCTTGGACCCTCGGCCCTCGCTCAAGGGCGGCCGGCAGGTCAGAGGTTAAGAAAGACAGCAGAGAGCGCGTGCGCCAGGGAGTGCTGGGCATGCGCATTGTCATGGTCTCGGGAACCAGCACCGGCCGTGACGTACGCGGGGCGGAGCAGAATCTCTTTGGGGGCGGAACCTGCTGTGGGTTCAAAGGACTATTGGACTCACGTAAGGGCGAAGGGCGCGGCAGGACCGTGGTTCTCCAGCAACTAAGGAGTAAGGATTCTGGGAAATGGGTCAAATGTGGGGCTGTTTATTCTTTTGATTTCGCGAAAATATTTAGGACCAAAACATAAAATAAACAGACACAGTATTGAGTTGGATGCCAAATTCTCCGGAATATTTAATAAAACGAAGAACTTCAGGGCAGGGGATTTAGCTCGGCGCACCAGCCCTGCCACAGGCAAGCACGAGGAAGTCCTGAGTTTGAGCCCCAGCACCAAAAAAAAAAAAAAAAAAAGAATTTCAAAGGTTTCTGCTTATGAGATAACGGACACTCATTTCTTCCACATCTGCCCTCAGATGACACTCGCGGATGTCTACCTGACGCTCTTCATTGTGCTGTGACATACCCTCCATCCTTTCGGTTTTTTGGTTTGTGTTTTAAAATAAAGGGTCACTGTGTAGTTCAGGATAATCTCAATATTGGTACGTAGTACCTCCACACCTGGCTTCGTGTATTTTTGGTGACAGTTTTTTGTTTGTTTGTTTTTGTTTTTTGGTACCAGGATCCAACTCATGATCTTGCACTTTGCCAGGCAAGCCTTGTGCCACTGAATTATATCCCCAGCCCTCGTAACAGTTTTTTAAGATATAATTCACATGTGATCTGGATCATTTTATTTTATATATTTATTTTTTTGAGACAGGGTTTCCCTATGCAGTTTAAACTGGCCTTGAACTCACAGTGATCCTCCTGCCTCAGCCACCCCAGTGCTGGAATTACACCCAGCCTTTATTTTTGAGGTGAAACCTTACTGTGCTGACCTCACACTTGTAATCCTTTTGCCTCAACCAACTCAGTAGCTGGATTATAGGTATGTGCCACCACACCTGGCCTCAGCTTATTATTATCTGGGAGGGGGTACCACTCAGGACCTTGCACTTGTCAGGCAGGAGCTGCACTGCTGAACTATATCCCCAGCCCACTTTCTATTATTTATTTATTTACTTTTTGTACCAGGAATCAAACGGAGTACCTTGTGTTTGCCAGGCAGGTGCTTGTACTACTGGGCTTATATTCCTGGCATTATTGTGGTTTTTTGACACCGTCTCATTTTGTAATTTCAGCTAGTCTTGAACTCAAGGCTTTAAAAATTTACAATGATCCTGCCATCTCAGTGCTGGGATTATAGGTAATGTGCTACCACACCCAGCTCTCAAGTCACCTTCTTAAAATCTGTAATTCTGATCAGACATGGTGGTACATGCCTGGAATCTCAGCACTTGGTAGGCTAAGACAGAAGGATAGCCATGAGTTCGAACCCCGCCTAGGCTACACAGTGAATTTAAGGTCAGCCTGAACTACATTTCGAGACCCTGTCTTTAAAAAAAATCTGTAATTCAGTCAGTGCCTTTTAGGATATTCACAGAGCTGTGCAATTAACATAAACGTCTAGTTTCAAAACAATGTCACCACTTATCAGCATTCTCTACCCCTTCTCACCTCCAGCCCTTGAAACCACAAGTCTGCATTCTGTACTTAGGGATTCTGTCCCTGTGGAGTGTTGGCACAGGACCAGCACCCACAAATATTTGGTTATTGGATGAAAGTGGGCTGCCTTGGATTATGCTATAGACCACTGCCCTGCTTTCCTTCCGTTTCCTTAGCTGTCCAGATTCTTTCTTCCATCACCTACGCTGCCTTTCCTTTGGTCTGAAATGTTTTCTTCCTGGCTCTCTGTTTGGCTGTCTCCTTCAGGTCTTGGCTCTCAAATTAAATGAGTCATTCTCTCAGATCCCTGAATACCCTGGCTTACCCCGGCTTTTTTGTTGTTTTGTTTTGTTGCTGTGAGAGGGTCTTATTAATGTAATCAGCCTGGCCTTGAACTCACTGTGTAACTCGGACTGGTCTTAAACTTATAGCAATCCTCCTGCCTCAGCCTCCTGATGCTGACATTACAAAGGTGTACCACCACACTCTCCTGGCATGCATCTAAATCTAAATCACATCCTTTCACTACTTTCTTCTCAAATGCTCTCTTAACACTGTTCTCCTGCAGACAGTACAGGGTTCACTTGTGCAACAAAGTTATATTAAATTTAAGCTCCCTGGAAAACTCTCTTTCCTGTTAACTTCAGCAGGCTAATACATCTAGGCTGTTGCTGGGCTCCTGAGTGTTGAATGAAATGAAATCCCAGCAGCCTGCATCTAAAAAGCCTTAGAAGAAAAGTTGAGGCTGGGACTGGAAGCACAGGGCCTAACCACTCTCACATACTCGTGTCCCCATCCCCTTTTTAGTCAGAGACCAGAGAACACAAAAAGTGGCCAGCTTAAAAAAGTTTAATTGTTAAAAACATCCAGGGTGTATGCAAGCTGGTCCCTGTGGAATTGATACTGTACCAACCGAGCAATCAGTTTGGTGAGGCTCCTTTTCCAGGCGTCAAGCCTGGGAAGCAGGGCAAGTGGTCCCAAACCCTGAGGTGGAGGCTGCTTCAAATGACTTAGTGGAGGGCCAGCTCCCCATACTTTTGTCTGGAACTGGGAAACAGGCAAGACTGACTGGCACGTAGTAAACAAAAGTGCTGGACAATGCCAGCCCAGGCTGGGATTGGCCGGGGTCAGCAGAAAGAGTAGGAGAGACAGGGAGCCCCGGGCCTGCCCAGGGACATGCTGCTCATCCCTCCCAACCCCATTCACATGCTAGCAGGCAACTGAGGAGAAGCAGCTGGTCCTAGAGAAAGCAGAGATGCAAACAATCTCAAGAAATTGCAAGTGAGCCCAGTGGCCACAAAAGTGCCCAAAGCCCACAGGAAACCAGGGCTTCTGGGATGGGGTGTGCCAGGGCCAGAGATGTCTTCCAGTTTGGAGAGATGTGAGGTATGCAGGAGCACAAAGTGGTTCTAGGAGGTGGCAGCAACAGCTGAGGCCAGAAGTGACTGGTGTGCAGGCTAGTCCTGGGGTGATAAACCAAGAAGTAGAAGGCCGTTAAGAGGCCTGAGGAGAAAAGAGATGTGCTGCAGTGTACACGAGAGGGGCAGCGCTGCCAACTGGAAGAGCTGGGCCCATTTGCCATTCACTCACCCATTCATCCTCATCCACCCCTTCAAAGGAGTCTTGGGGCAGTGGGTCTTCCCGGTTCCCCAGCTTTGCCACCATAGCATTCAGTAGCTACAAAGGTAGACAGGAGAAGAACTGAAAGGAGCAAGACTCACTGACCTGCAAATCATTACATCCCCCATGGTTTAAAATTCAATAGTGTCGTAAAAAGACTTTTCAAGTAAAACTCTGCCAGAGTTGATGGGCTTTCATTGAAAAGGCCACAAGGACTGAGCAGTGGGCATCCTGGCACATACCTATAATCTCAGCTATTTGAAAGGCTGAGGTAAGAAGATCACAAGATAAGGCCAGCCTGGGCTACTTAAAAAGACTGTCTCAGCAATTAAAAAAAAAAAATTAAGGGCTTGCCATGTAGTTTAGTCTGGTTTTGAATTTGATGTGAGCCTCCTGCCTCAGCCTCTCAAAGTGCTGGGATAATTATAGGCATGTGCTACCATGCCCAGCAAGATTAAAATTTTAAAGAACTGAGGATGTAGCTTAGTATGCTTCCCTAGCATATGCAAGGCCCTGGGTTCAATCCCCAGTATAGCAAAAGAATAGAGACAAGAGAGTTAGAGACACAGAGACTATGGCATGGTGCCTCTGTCTGTTGCTGCTGTCTGTTGCAGCGCTCAGGAACTTGAGGCAGGACTGCCTCAAGGCTCACATGTACACCAGGGTCCCAAACACACTTTGGCTCCCAAACTCCAGCTTTGGCTATATTATGCTGTCCAGGGTGGGGCCTCTCACTGCCCTCCCTCGCTTGGCATGCCCTGGGGACAGCATATGCAGGGACCTAGAAGGTCTCCCCACAAAACTCAGTGGACATATATGTGGCTCCTCTTGCCATTTGGGTCACATTGAGACCTGAAGGACAACTAAACAAGGACACTAGCCAGGACCCCTGTCTGTTCTGTGCACAAGGCCAGCTCTCCCATGCCTACCTCTTCCTTCTTTTGCTGGTCTGACTTCTCTTCCAGGTACTGCACTGAGGATGGGGCTCGCCGGGTAGGGGCTTCTCGGGGTGCTTGGCTCACTGGAGTGGGGCAACGATAGGCATTAGATAGTCCCCTGGGTGGGAGCTGCTTGGTGCCACCCCAGAGGGATTCTCTGGCAGAGACCCGGGAGGGTTTTAATAGCTACTGAACCTCCTTCAAGAGGCCTGCCCTGGGTAGTAGCAGGTATGTTGAGTATGTGTGTTGGGGGTAGGGTCTTGAATAGAAACCCAGACCACAGGTCCTGCTCTCCAGAGGCTCAGAGATGGTCTGGAAACATGGTCCTTCATCATTAAGAGCCAGAAGTCTTGGTCCACCAGCAGGGAGAAAGAATTGGAGTCTGCCCCCTCCTCCAGCCCTGCCCAAACTCCCCTGTTTCCTTCCCATACCCAGCCCCATATTCCACCTGGGGTCATGCCAGGGGGCTGCAGGCTGAGCAGCTGGAGCTGTCCATTAGCACCTCCCAGCCAGGCCTTAGCACTGAGTACTGGCTCCCAGGTCACAGCTGTGTCCGGGAACACATCATCTTGGAAGAACTCTTTCTGCAAGGGTAGAGGGGATTATCCTGAGACCAAAAGCTAGGGCACCCTGACACCAAGACTTGATATACCCACCCCATACACATGCTGGAGTTTCTATGAGTTTTAGATTTTCAGCAGAATATGGAGGCAGGTATTACAAAGAATGAAAAGCAACAAGGTTTGGGGGCAGGACCAGAGAGAAACTAAAGTCCCTGACCAGTGTTGAAAATGGGAACTAAACACTGAAGTCCTTGGACCCAACCTCACCCTGACTCGGGGAAGGCGGAATGCAACAGGTTCTAGGGACGTTTGGCGCAACCGCAGGCACCGGGCAAACTCCACTTCCCGCACGTCACACTCGGTCTTGGGCAGGAGGATGAAGCCCTGGGGAGAATGAGGAAGCAGGAGCTGGAGCCAGGAGTTTCTGGCTGAGCATTTTCACTTAAGACTGCCAGGACTTGCCAGGTGTGGTGGCACACACCAGTAGTCCCAACACTTGGGAGGCAGAGGCAGGAGGATTGTCACGAGTTTGAGGGCAGCATGGGTTACACAGTGAGTCTGAGGTCAACTTGAACTATATACCAAGACCCTGTCTCAAAAAAATAAATAAATAAATAAAACCAACAAATAATAAGACCCTCAGGACCATGGCCTGTCCCTGGACAGTAGCATATGGGTAATGTGCACAACTGGCTCTCTAGTGGGAAGAGGCCTGATGTGTAGTCCTGAACTATTTCTAGAATATTTCTATTTCTAACGCCTACCATGACCCACTCAAACCTGCGATTCTCTCGCCTCAGCCTCTCAAGTAGCTGTGATTACAAGGGTGTACCACCATGCCCAGCTCATTTTTAGTAATACAAAATATAACAACTAGCTCTCAAAATTCCTACATAATTTCATAGCCAGCTGACCACAAGTCACAGTACTCTGATTCTGACTCCTGCACTTTCCCTAGTGGCCACCAGAGGGTACAGAAGCCCTGTGAGTCCACCTGGGGACAGAGGCTCGGTCCAGGATAGCCTTACCTTGTGTGGATCAGGTGAAGTGAAGCTGTTGCATTCCAGGAAGAAAGGAGCCTCAGGAAGCAGCTCATATAGAAATACACGGGTGTCACCCTGGGGGGGCGGTGAGGGCAGGAAGGTGACAGTGAAGTGGCAGCACCAGCCCCTCCCCTCACCCTGCCCTCTCAGCCCAGCCCACCTTGCCCGTGAGGAGGACCAGGCTGGTGTCAGGGTCGTAGCTGGGCAGCAGGGTGGATGGTGCCACGTCAAGGCCCAGGACTGCTGAGGGGCCACTGGCCAGGGCATCAGCCATGTACAGCAGCAGCTGGCGCTCACTTCGACTGCCAGAGGGTTAGGGGAAGAAGCAGGACCTTAGGGCTGGAGAGGCCAGGGAAAGGGCAGAAACTACCTCAGGGACCCTGTCCTTTCTGGGCTAGGAAACCTGAGGTCCACTGGGCAATGGGAACGCTGAATCCAACTCTAAGAAATGGCCTGACTAGAGTGGCGGTGTGTCAACCCGCTGCTCTGTCTGCCTCTGTCTTCCTCTAGACTATGTCCCAGATCCCCAGTACAGTGCTGACCCTGCTCTGGGTTTCTTTCCCTCATACTGCTCCTCAAGTCTGCTCCTGTGGACTGCAGGGCTTTCTGGCCTTTCCCCCCAGGCTCCAATACCTTCTCGGTCAGCAGTCCCTAATAGTCTTGGTCAGCAGCCCCTAATAGGACCCAGCTCAGATGACACCTCACTTTGGAGACCATCCCTGATTCCTCTTCTAAAGTGTATTTGGGACCATCTCCCTGGTCTCCCTAACTAGCTTGGTTCTTTGCTTCCTGTGCTACACTTGGTCTCTAATAGGCCTGGGCTCTTGGACTTGGCTTTCACTCTGGGATCCCCCATTGTCTCATTTTCCCTGCCCAACCCTCCCTCTCACAAGTGCATTTGTTTACTTACCTATCCATCCATCCACTCATCGATCTATCCCTTCATCCATCTGTCTACCCACCACCCAGCCCTACTCAACCAGCCAGTAAGTGAGGGGTTGGAACAGGTTTTGCAGGCCTGACAAGTGTCTGCAACTTTAGGAAAGGGGACTCAGGTGGAAAGCCTGGGAATGGTGGTCCCTGAGTCCTCACCTGTCAAAGCCAGACACCAGCAGACAGCAACCATCACATACCCAGACAATTCGGGCTCCACGGCCACCCTCAGGTCCTGGACCTTCCTGTTGAGATGCAGCATGTAAATCCTAGCCTGGGTCCCCCAAGCCAGGTCTGGGAGCCACCCCCAGCCCATAATTGCTCACCTGAAGGGGTTCAGGACCACTCCTGGGCTCATAGACCCGCACATATCCATCCTTGCAGACAGTGGCGAGCTGCTGCCCATCAGGACTCCAGTTTAGACCAAAGATCTGGGAACAGGGTGGGACATGAGAGGTAGCATCTCACCCCATGGCTGAGTCCCTGCCTCTGCAGCTGTCCTACCTGGTCTTGGTGGCCCTGCAGCCTCAGCCGCTCGGCCCCAGCCTGAAGGTCCCAGATCCGGATAGTGAGGTCATAGGAAGAGGAAGCCAGCACATCGGCTGCCAGTGGGTGGAAGCGCAGAGAGTAGATTTTCTCTGTGTGGCCTGGAGGAGAACTGTGAGGTGACACTAAGCCCTTCAAAGCCACTACCCCACCCAGCCCCATCCCAGGCTCTTCTGACCCATGAGCACAGCCTCTGGCGTGGTGAGTACATCCTTCAGACCCCCTGAGGGCACCCGCCACAGTCGGATCCGGGCATCTTCTCCAGCTGCACAAAGAGATCAATAGCTTCCCATTGTTAGACCCTACCATCAGTTTCCTTACCCCACTCAGGACCTGGGACTCCCCCTCAAGCCAGGATCACAGTCTCCTTACCCACGGCGAGGCGGTAAGGGTCAAAGGGGTCCCAAGCCAGATCAGTTACAGCTGCCCTGTTCTGCAGCGTGGGCAGTGCGATGTCAGGCAGGCGGCCAGGATTCTTTAACTGTAGGAGGTGCCCCAAACCATGGCCCATGAGACCCAGGTAGGAGAGTTGGTCCCAGGAGCTGCAAGGTAACAGGGTATCTGGGCCCCCACCCCCTGCAGATGTCCCCACTGATGAGTGGCCCAACCTCTCTACCTTAGCTACCTCTGGTTTGAGCCCCCCAGCCCAGTGCCAACTGGAAAACTCCAGAAAGTGAGGGAGTAGCAGTGCAAAGTGAATGAAAGAGTTCAGGCTCCAGGCTCAGGTGGTCTGGGTTTGAACCTAGCTCCACTTACACAGCTGTGTGACCTGGGCAGGTCACTCCCTGTGCCTCTTCACCCTCATCTGTAAAATGGGGATAAGAAGGCATCTAATGCATGGGGATGTGGCGGGGGGGGGGACGACTGTGTTTGCTGGCAGGTGTTTTGATATATAGTCTTTGCTTAATGAGGCTTGGTGGGTAGGTAAGGCAGCCCTGGTTGGGCAGGATCACTCACCTCAAGCACAGCTACCTGCCCACCACTGCTCAGCAAAGGCACAGCCACATGCAGCTGGTTGGCACAGAAGCCATCACTCTCACCAGGTGTGGTGAGGTTAAGCCCCTTGAGGTTGGTGATATGACTGTCTCGATGCAGGACAGTGCCCTGAGCATGGCGGAACTTGGAACTGGGGCCTGGGAGGTGGAAGGAATGTGGAGCTTTGAGTCAGATGCTGTGCCTGTCCCCCCTGCATTCTGGACCTTGGTTGCTTGCTTCCTTCATCATGGGAAGGTGCCTGAAGTGTGCCCAGGCCAGGCCTCTGCAGAGGCAGTGCACACATTGGGAAGCTCACCCTTGCTTCTCTGCACCTTGAGGAATCTCAATGGAACCCCAGGGCTCCAGGAAACACTGCTTGGGAGTCAGTGGTCCAGGCTGCCTTCTGATTTTACAGATGACACTTAGGAGCCTCATGTTAGCAGGTAGGCTGAATGGACAAATGATTGCCTAGAACTGCAAGTCTAGGCAAGTGGGGGTGGCCCTCATAAAGTCTCCCCTGAAGACTAGGGCTAGATGGCTAGCCAGGGGTGGGATGGACAGAGTCCTGACTGCCTTACCTAGAAGACTCTGCAGTGACTTCTGACTGGGACTGGTGCCAATGCCACTGGTGCTGGAAAGTGAGGCCCCCAAGCTGGAGGGTGTGGAGGGTGATGTCAGCAAGCTTGGAGGAGAAGAGAAGCCCTCCTGGGGAGAAGGTCTTGGGTCAGTCAGCAGGCCCTTGGGCATGCTAGCCAAGGAGAGAGACAGGACACACCTGGCCGACTCCAGGGCCATCACTCTGGGCCTTTTTAGGCCAGACCATGGGCTGGGCATGAGCCCCATTGTGAGTGGGGCAGAACAGGACTGCAAAACATAGCAAGAAGGTGGGCTGGGCTGTAGGCTATAGGGACAGTAGATAGCAGCTCTTGAGTCTTGGATTCATAGGGATCTGTGACTAGTGAATCAGAACTGCTGATGGTGTAAGAAAAGCCAGAAAAAGTCTCATTTCCTTGATGTCTGGTCAACTTTATACTGTATTTTTTTTTTTTTTTTTTTTGAGACAGGGTCTTATATTGCAGCCCAGGCTGGCCTTAAACTCATGGAAATCCTCTTGCCTCAGCCTCCTGAATGCTGAGGCATTTATCACCGCACTGGCTCTTTTTTTTTTTGGTACTGGGGATTGAACCCAGGGCCTTGTGCATGCTAGGCAAACATTCTAAACATTCTACCACTGAAATATATCCCTAGCCATTGTTACACTTGATGATATAAAAGACCATAAAGAGCATCTGGCAGGTGGCCCATACATGCCTACCTTTGATTTTACCCTGCTACCTACTGTAGCTGTCACATCAGTCATGGGTGGGGGCAGCTGGTACTTACACTTGGGTCTGTGTTGGCCTCTGGTGTCTCTGCAGGCTGGGTTGTGACAGACGGAGGCTCCGTGGGGGGCACCAGACAGGAAGTGAAACTGGGATACGGCCGGCATGCAGGGTTGAGGCTGATCTTTTGCACCTGTGGGGAGGCTGGCAACTAAGGTAGTGAAGCTGTAGGGATGCCAGTAGGGGGCACAATTTGTCAGGGGGAAGGGGACCTCCATAGAGGTAGGATTCCAAGGGGTAAGGCTTAGAGGTCAGCAGAAGGCCCCACAAAAAGCTGGACTGGGGGTTTCCAGAAATTGATGGCACCGTAGGGAGCGCTCAGCCCTACCTGCTGGTTGCTCCCGGACCACCAGGTATAGGGGTTGGAGGCAGGAATGCAGCCAGTTGTGTCCGGGAACAAGTCCTCATGGAACTCTACAGTCTGGTGCCAGAGAGTTAGGTCAGGGAGGCCTGAGTTCCCCAGACCCCCAGCCCTCATTCAGGACCCCCTCACCTTCCGGGGCACATGGTGGCTAATGGGTACAATGGCTGCATCACTCAGCTGTAGGACACGGAGTACCTCGCAGTCCATAACACTTAGTGCTCGCCGGGGCACAAGGGCTGCCCCTCGTAGCACATTCTCCAGGATGCACTGGGTCACTGTCAAGGGTAACGTGGCAGAACAATCAGGAAAACAGAGACTCAAAGGAGAGGGAGAACTGAAGGAGACAGGACTCACCTGGGCTCAGTGCTGGTTGCTGCAGGGCCACCTCGTAACAGTACAGCTGACTCTCACCCTGAAAAAAGCCCAGCCTGAATGTCATTCACTGACCACATCCTGGTGGCTGAGATCTAGCGCCAACTTCCTCTCCACCTTCTGTTCTTCCCCAAGCACCAGAGCCACAGAACCACAGTGCTGCCCAGGAGCCAAGCTGAACCCTTAGCACTTCCTGCCTCAGTTGCCTATCCTCATCTTGCATGCTGAGCACCAGGGGTGTATGTCAGCATTTATGGTATGGTGAACATGTCTTGACACTGCTTTATTGGTCTTGTTCTCTTCAGGGCAACTTTGTAGGGGGTCACATCATCTTGACCCCACCCAGAGGAAGATATCCTGGTAGTGGGGTGTACTGTTCTAATTCTTCCTCTTTTGGGGAACAGAAAGGACACTGTTTCATAGGTTCAACTTTGGGTGGTGACATGAGTTGAAGCCCAGCTTCATGCTCACCTTTCCTGCCAGGACCAGGAGCCCGGAGTCTGGGTCCAGCAGGGGTATCAGAGACCTGGGGAGAGAGGGCCAGTGGGCAGGGGGGTAATAAGTGGCAGCAGAAGCAATGTGTGTCTTATTATCCTAAATCGGGACTTGGAAGGTAACACAGTGACCAGAAGCCACTCAGCTGCATTAGCCTACCCCTGCTAGAACCTTCCACCTCTTTCTTTGTACTGTCCAAGTGCCACACACACAGCCCCACATCCAGAAATCTTGCCCCAAGTACCCAGCCATTTACCTGCTTGTGCTGGGCCTGTCCACTGAGGATATCAGGCCCAAGTTCCATCAAGGATCTTCTGAAGACCCCAGATACATCCCCATTCAGGGCTGCCTGTACTCAGTGGGGTCCATCCCTGCTGCTCTAGCTTGGGGCTAAGGTGTGGTGCCACCTGGGATATTTCCCCCAGTGCTTTGGAGCTTTAAGGTATCTTAAGAGACTCAGATCCCTCTCCAATTCAAAGTCCTTTGCCCAAGCCTGAGCCAGAAGCCCAGGCACAATGGCTCCCACAGCTTCTGGGCTTCCGGCTATTCTCAGGTCTGCAGTTCAGGCTATGTGGGCAGTATGTTCCTGCCCTCTCTGCTTCTGAGGTGAGGGTCATGTCAGGAGGACATGGTGGCTGGGACTTCAGAGAGCAGGCTAGAACTTCTCACAGCCCTTATAATGCTGTGCCAGGCCCTGCCTCCATCAGCTGTCTGCCACTACCACTTCCCTCCCTATAGGAGCCCATTTCCAGCTCCCTGGGTCTATACATCCTGCCTTCCAAGCCCATAGCATTTGAGAGGGGCATCCAGGAGAATTTATAAGGGTGCTTTCTGATTCCAGCTTCTGGTCTTCATTTTTTGTTGCCAGGGACCCTTGAACTTAGACCTCCAGCCTGACACCATCAAACAGTTCTCCATCCCTGTGTGGTCACAAGTCACTCAGCTGTGGCAGCTGTCTCTTTTCCTCACTCGGGCAACAAGGGACCCATCCTCATCTCCTGAACACCAGTTTCCTTGCCCACCTCTCCTACTCTGCCAGGAGCTGAAGAGCAGGCTAGGAGGCTGGGTGGGGCCCTGGGTGCTTCTACAATTTCCTGGAATCCCCAGAGCTGGTAACAGGCCCCTAATTATGTTTAGCTGGCAGGGTGAGCTGGGCTCAGTGCTGCCCTTTTCAACCTGGACTGACCGCCTCCAGCTGTGGCAGAGGTGGTGAGTGGGAACAGAGGTAGGTGGCCTGGGCGTGCCTGTGCTGGCACTTGCACTAAAAGGGTCAGCATCAGGTCCCCTTTAGTAGCTCCCTCTAGGCTTTACTCATTCATTTATGATCAGTTATTCCTTTAATGACCTGATCTGTCCCCAGCCCTCAGCCCAGCCTATACCTGAGACCACAGATGAGTATAAGAGACCCTACCTCTATCCTCAAGAAGCTCATAGCCTGGTGGTACAGGCAGATATAGACACAACTCCACAGCTCAACACATGAAGGAAAGGTCTAAAGACCTGCAGCAGGCAGCAGGACAATTTGGCCTTGGATGAGTGCCTGGGAGAAGGTATTTCTCTGATTCCAATGTGAGGCAAAAACCAAACAGATCACAGGGTAGTCCAGGCAGCAAAAGCAGGATGTGAAAGGTCCGGAGACAGGTGGGTATGAGGCCTTTTGAGGGATGGAAACCTGGGGGCCTGGGTGAGGTTAAGGAGTTAAGGTTCAGGCTACGGTGGGCAAAGCAAGATGGCACAGGCCCGGTAGGGCAGGAGGGGAGTTACGCCTCTAATGAGTGATGGCCATCAAAAAGCTGGTAGCATGTTTTAATTGAAGCTGGTATAAGAACAGGCTGGGAGAAGTGGGAATAAGAGGTGACAAATGACTTCGAGGCAGAGGCTGAGAATAAGTGGGCTCAGCAGGAGCCCCTATGGTATCTCTGCTGCCTAAGTGAGATAGAGGAAGAGGCCTGGGGCTCCACTGGGGCAGTGATGGCTCAGCTGTGCTCTAAACCAACCTCCTGAAAAGCCCTGGGCTGGTCTTCCTCATCCCCACCCTGTTGGCTCCTGCCCACTGACTCAGGACATGGGGGCAGGAAGTCATAGTAGGCAGGGCTGGCTCCTCCAACAGGCCAGTCCAGTCCTCCCTGCCTCAGGCAGAGCCACCTGGACAGCTCTGTCAGGTAGGAGCATCTTGCTGTCCACAGTACAGGCTGGAAAATAGGGTCATGGCACTCAACACCAAAGGTTAGTCAGTTCTAACCTTAGGCCTTATAAAGAGACTGACCTGGATCTAGATTTCTTAGCAGAGGATCAGACATAGCGCCATCACTGCCTCTCCCACTGCACAGCCCCTAGGTGTTACCCCGAAGGACTTTGACCCTGTCCTGGGCCCCAAGTCATAGAAAGTCAAGAGTCAAGATATGCTCTAACCTTCAGACCAGATCCCAGAATGATGACACCAACTGGGTTGAGAGAGGGGTCTTGGGTCTCTGATATTGCTACCAGCTCTCCTAATGCTCCTGTGAGACCACAGGTGGAAGGACTGGGATGCAAAGCTCTCAGCCTCCTCCTTCAGTTCCCCCTCCATTCATCTTTCCTGCTTCAGGTCCCTTCCAGATAGCCTGACATTGCCCCTGGTCCAAACCAGACCTTCGGGCCAGGCCTACCCATACATGCTGGTTCCCTCTCCTCACAGGGCTTCTGAGTAGGGTAGCACCTTGAAAATAGCAAGGAAAGACTAGGTAAACTCTAGAGGTTTCTTGGAAGCTGCCTCTGAATGAATGGGGATGTAAGCCCAGGGCATGAGATAAGGCAAGGGTGGACACTTTAGGCAGGGCAGGGCAAGGGGTCTTTCTCTATCAGTGAGAACTGGCCACAGAAGCGAAGGGCTTCAAGGCTACAAGGAAGTCCTGTTTCTTGGGGAAAATCAGGCTAGAGTCTTTTAGACTCAATAACCTTTTCCTTCAGGCATTGGGATGTTCCCAAGGGCCTAGAGAAGTCACACAATGGAAGAGAAAAAGCATAGAAACAGTCTGACCAGAGGCCACACAACAGGAACTGACAACCCAAATTCTTTCGAGCCAATTGGGAGACTTCAGTAAGTGAAGAGCCAGGCATGAAAAAACAGGGAGGTATAAAGAAAGGGATGACCCATGAGCCCAAGCTTTGGCCAGAGAGGTCAGCTGCCATTCAGCAGCAGCAGAGACTTCCTGTTCAAAGGAAGCTGGGAAGCCCCATTTTAATGCAAAACCACCTGATTTTTCAGTACTAGCCAAAGCTTCAAAGTTTTTAAACTGTCACAGTAGCCAAACAAAACATAGGCCAGCTCTGTTCAGGAACAGAGAGGTTTATAGCCACACATGCCCTACATCCATGACCCAAGAAAGTGCAGGACACAGCGTCCTGCCTGTCCTGGGGAATGGACCCAGCAGAGGCCAAGGAGCTGAAAGAGGACATCTAGGTGACTGTTGCAGCCAGATTCTGCTTGGCCCCTGACAACTGGACACAGGTCATGTTGTCTCCTGGAGGGAGAATCCTCCAGAGACTACCAAGTTCCCAGCTGGTGTGGCCCTACTTTTGGAAAGAGTCTTCAGAACCCCAAAGACTCGCACTAGTCCAGCCAAAGGCCTTGGTTGTAACTGAGCAGGAGATGCGGGAGTCCAGGGGCTCTCCAGAAGTTGAGATCCGAGCCAGGTCCCTAGATGCTCTTAGGCATGACTCTGGCCACAAATATAGAGAGGGAGGAGGGCAGAACATTTTCCTGGAATCCTCCGAGACAGGGGAATTTTCTGGACCAGACAGTCCCTGGACACTTCCTGCCCAATCAAGGACCACTGTCAACTAAAGCTCAGGCACCACCCACTGTTGTAAGGTTCAGCACCTGAAGCTGTCAAGTAACAAGGGGGCCTTTCCTTCCTGTGTCTCAGTCCTTCGCAACATGTAAGGGGTCCAGGGATATTACTCCCCTAATGCTGCTGTGGCCACCAGAACCTCAAACTCAGTTAGTTGTACTTAGGTTTTTTCTTTTTTTTCCCTTTTGGTTTTTTGAGACAAGGTCTTGCTATATAGCCCAGGTTGGCCTTGATTCCGTCTGCTGTTAACCTCCTGCTTCAATCTCCCATGTGCTGGGATTACATGCATGCGCTACCACACCCGGTTTAGGAGGCTCTTTCGAGGGCTTTGTGTGGCCTGCTCAAAAGTTTTTGGAATTGGGATTAACTACCAACAATAACATACTGAGAAATTCCACCTAAAAATCTGGATTTGGGAGTCTCTTAAAAATCCCTTCCTCTGGCCTGCTGATCTGGTCATGGGGACTGAGCCCCACCCCTCACCCGCAAGGGCCCCCACTGCTCCAGCCCGGCTTTTCCATGTTTCCACAGGTCCCGGACTCAACTTCTAGTATTTCTGTCACCCGGCTGCTGTCTTACATGAATCAGGCTGTGACTCTTGGTGTCACTCAATATTTGCTTGCTTTTTATGTGAACTGCAGGAACCTGCTCAGTGTTACACAGTAAACTAGGGCCAGACACAATTTGACTCCTGCTGAAGTCGGGCGGCGGCGGGGTGAGGAGTAGGGCAGCTCTGCCCAATGACCCCCGTCAGTGGAGGGGGCGGGTCCCCGATGGCCCCGCCCTGGCCAATGGGCAGCAGCCCCGCCCCTCGACTCTTAAGGCGCGACCCGCCCATCCTTGAGCAGACTCTAGAGCCAGAGCCGAGGCGGGAGACTAGGACGCTTTCTGGCCCAGCGGGCTGAAAAGGACTAAAGCCGGGGCCTTCCCCGCCCGGCCCCCTCAGCCATTGCCACGGGCTCCTGGTGAGTATCAGGGGCGGTGGGAGGGGTCTGTGAATGGGGGCATAAAGGACGGTGCGTAGAGTCGTCCTGCGCACGCACACTCGCATGCTCACCTGGGTCCACCCAGGTGAACGGGTCCTCTGTAACCCTTCTCTGCGTCCTAGGGTGTCTCCAGCTTCATGGCTGGCCAGCATTCATGTGCGTACATGGCTCACTGGTCGAGGAGGTTGCGAGCAGACAAAATAAACACCCCCCTCCCTCGCTTCCTCCTCCCACGGCTGGGCCCTCTGGCATGACCAGTTTTATGAATCAAACCCTTTTCAGAGGCTGGCCCAGCAATAGTCTTTAGTTACTTTTCCCTCCTAGGGTCAGATAGTCCTGGGCCCCTGTGCAAACCAGCCGCCTGGGGTCTTCTAGGCTTTGTCACTCATGGGCGAGCCGGGGGCTTACAGACATACAGCTCTAGGGAAGGATTTGGGGGGTAGACTTTGGCCTGCTAGGCCCATTAATGCTCCAGGTGTACCTTGCTTCTGCCACGGCAGGGGCTTTGCTTGGGCTTCAAACCCAATGGCCCAGAGCCAGCCTAGTGCTTTTTGTCCCTGGTTGGCAGCCTGCTGAGGTCCCTTGTGGTCACTGGCAAGACAGCTGATTGGTGCCAACTATTCTGCCTCACTCCTGTTTTAACAATTACCACACCAGAGTTCCTGACCTCCTTTCCCCAGGTCCAGAGGTAGAGTCTGCAAGGTAAAAGAGGACCCAAGAGTCTAGATGTCCCCTGATTGCCTTATGCACCAAGTGAGGATTTGGAGAAGCACCAAGACCAAGAGCCCCTTTGCTCAGGCCAAGTGCCTCAAGGAGTAGGGACTGGCCCAAATCTCCAAAATCCCTTTCTGCTAGCCTGGACTTTGGGTGTTGGGGACAAGGGGAGGCTGAACTAGTGCCCTCCAAGCGAACTCCATTAGAGCCGGCTCAGTGGACAGTAAAGTTTAGCATGGGTCCAGCTGTTGGCACAGCCCAGCAGAGCAAAGGCAGACGGCTGGGGGTGTGGGGGAGGGAATGGGAGAGCAGTCCCCTGAGTTTACTGACTTCTCCCAGGGGAATCAGCCCCCAGAGCTTCTGTAAACAGAGTGTCAGAGGCAGGAAGAGGGCTCTGGTAATGAGCAGCCCAGCTGGATTCCCTCCAGACCATTATCTAGCTTCTCCTAGGCCAGGGAGCAAGGAAGGACCAGGCCTATATGCCAGCCTGGGCACCTGGGCACCGGCTGTCTCCACCCTACCCCACCCTCAGTCTCTTGGAGTGAGGCAGACTGGTTGGCATATTGGAACAACTACCTGAGACCTGGTGGTCTCAGTTCAGGGTCAGGGGGTCTCAGGGGGTGGGGTGGGGTGAGGTACTGGTGTCCAGATGACACAATTCTCTCCAGACCCTGGAAGTGAGTGGAAGGAATTCAGCACAAGGAGCCCCTTAGACACTGCCCAGACACAGTATCTCTGGCAGACAGGGCAGAGATGGCCCACAGTTCTAGCTTCCATTACTGATACACCTCCTCACCCCCCACCCCCATTCACACATACACAGCCCTGGTAGAGTTGGGACAGGATGCAGGTAAGGAGAATTTATTCTTAGTGTGATAGGTGGTCCCTACCCTTGGCCTACACAGGCCCTAGGAACCCAAGTCGGATCCCAGCTGGGCCCAGGTGGGGGCTTCTACCTCAGTAGCTCAGCTAGTCAGTCCCCCTCAGTGACCAGAGAGAAGGCTGCCCACAAAGGCACCCTTAGCCATTGGTTCCTCTCAGAGTCCCTCCCTGGGCTGGGGAGCCCAAGGCTCAGTGTTGCCAAGAAAACCAGCTCCCCTCACTGCTATGGAATTTGCATGAGTTCTCCGGGAAGGGGGAGGGTGTGTGCGTGGGCGTGCAGCTTGTGTGTGTGTGTGTCTGTCGTGGGTGTGTATCTCTGCACGTGACTGCTGCAGGCTGTGTTTCAGTCATGCAGGGGTGCTTCAGGAAAATCCGTGCACTTGGGGAGAGCCACAAGCTCAGCCTCCTTGCTTTTATCGGCTTCTGCATTCCAAAGTCAGCCGGGTTGCCTTCTTCAACCCTTCACGCAGTCAGGCCCACAGGCCTCCCCCGCTTTTCCTCATTCCAGCCTCCCAGGGTGTGAGGAGGCTGGAGGCTCCCTGGCCACCTTGGTTTGAGGGGGTGGGAGGCAAAGGGCCAGTTCTTGTCAGGGTTGGAGATGGCCCCGCACCAGGCTTATCCGGGGGAATGCAGTAAGTCTCTGACATTCCTTGGAGGCTGCCTGAGAGATTTCATTAAGGAGAGAGGAGGGAACTTCAGCCTGCATTGAAAAGGGGCCTGGTTACAGCAGGGGCCCTTGTGGGCCCTGAGCCCCAAGCCACTGGGTAGCTATGATAACAGAGGAGGTAGAGTAGCTCAGTGACCAGGGCCTACCTTCCCATTAACTAAACTTCAGGCCCCAAGAAGGGCTCCTTGTGCCACAGGTTGGCCAAAACTCTGGTTACTAGTGGGACTGGTGCTTGATGGGTGGGAGAGAGAAAAGGGCAAGACCCCTTTGGGGCCACTATGTTCCCAGATCCTTGGTTCAGATGAATTGAGGATGGTGACCTACCTTGATGACTAAGGTGTTCTTCTGGCAAGATCAGGGTTAATTGCAGGGTTAAAGGCTTACTCTATGGATGCTTGACCCTGGGTAGGGACAGGGTGGGGAAGAGGCCTGGTTGGTGTCTGGGCCCAGTCCCAGTAGCATCACACCTGCCACGTGCCAACAATGGCATTTAGACTAGCCCATTTCTAGATGGGCCAAAGCTACCATATATCTCCTAGGGCCACTGGTGTTCCTGCCCAACAGGTAGAACCTCTCCTGACTGAGAAGGCATATCCTGCCACCCTGAGGGCTCACTTGAGCCAGGGACTAGCCTTAGCCCTGGACTGGCAGGTCTGGTGGCTGCCAAGTCACCCACAGTGTTACTGAAGACACCCACCTGGGGCCATGCCAACCTCCTTTGGTGGAGGTTAGAAGTGCCCAGCTGCCGGCAGCTCCAAAGCTACTCTGAGATCTACAACTCCCTTCCTGGATAGGTAGATGAGCTAAATGCTCTGGTTATCCCCTTTGCAATCTTCTGGCTGCAGAAAACTCACATGGGAAGCTTTTCCAAAATAGAGCTCTGCCTGGATCTCACCCCAAGTTCTTAATTGGTCTTTTTATTGGGTGGGGCCCAGGTCATCATGATTTTTTAAAAGCTTCCTGGGTGATCCTGACCTGCACTTAGGTGGAAAAGACCTTGGGGTTACAGATGGAGATGGAAGTTGAGGTGAGGTCACAAATCAGGCAGAAGGAAAAGACTCTGAAGAACCTGAGGACTTATCTCTCTTCCTTTTGTGTGGCAACCTACAACAAAGAGCCCCCCCCCCCACCTCTCTGCCCTGCTGAGCAGGGGCTGCTATGTTCCAGGGAAGGGGAGATAGGGTGGACCCAACCCAGGCTCTGAGCCTCCTTGGACACGTCAGTGAAACTGGAGCCAGCTATTCTGGCCGCCGGCACAGTCCCGCCTGCCTGGGGGGTTGGCAGACTCCTGGGGCTGGGCTGCTGCCAGCCCTGGCCGGCAGTGGAGATCCTAGGCAGGCCAGCACCCCGAGCCACAGCGTTAGACCCACAGCACTCAGCCCCCATTATCTACTCCTAAGTCTGTGGCACAGGAAAAGGTGTGTAGGCTCTCTGTCTATGTATCTGTCTGTCCAAGCTATCTTTCAAACAGCTGGGCACATGGCCTTCCCCAGGAGCATGAGATGTACCAGTCCCAGGACTGATGTGGTCACCCAGCTACCTAGGTTCTTTCTCACCTACTTACCTGATCCACAAGTGGGTGCCCACAAGTGTATTGCAAATTCAGAGATGGAGGGACACTCTGGGTCCCCTGAGAGGTGTGATGACGAATGCCCTTAGTTTTTCTTACTCATAGAGCCCCTCCCAGAGGTCATATGCTGAAGAGAGATGGCCAAAGGACAGCTCACCCCCCCACACCCCTTTCCAGAACTCAGGACACCTCACCAGACTTCCCCACCAGCCTTAGAGTGGAGGGCAGCCTTGCCCCTGAACCCAGGCTTCCACTGGTATGAAGGTAGTATACAGCTCCTCTCCTTGGTGGCCTCCAAACCCATGAGGCAGATAGGGCTCCAGGTTTATGGGTACCACCCTCAGTAGCTAATGTTTACCAACCACTTGGCAAGTACTCTAAGTATACACTGAATCCCCTGCATAGCAGGTGCTGAGGTGGGTTCTTGCCAGGATGTCCTGCAGTGACTAAGAACCCTGGGAGTCAAATGTATAGCCACTGGGCACTGCAGAACCTACCTTACTGCATACAGCACTGTGGACAGAAGTGTTGCCCTTTTACTTCTGTCCCCTTAAAGCCCAGGGCTGCTCCAGGATACTCCCCATACCCTTTACAAAGGTAAAAGTCTCTGCTCTAGCTCAGTGGATCAGATATCAAAGAACAGGTTCTGTTTTCAGAACTACTCCACTCACTGGATAGTGTAGCACAGTGGTCACCATGAGACAACTCCACTCCACTCCCACTTGCACACAGGTTAGGCAGGCACCCAGATCCAGATGCCAGAACTTGTTAAAAGAACTACCTGTTTAAAAACAAAAAACAATAAAAAACAATGGGGGGGGGGGAGTGTGGCGAGCTACTTATGCCAGCTCTGTGAGTAATGGACCATAGTCCTGAAAGGCTTGAACTTGGACCTGAACTCAGTGCTCTACATCCTGCTACATCCTTTCTAGGGTAGTGCTTTGTCCTCTCGGGTTCCTCACTGGGGCTGCTCAATCTACTCTGGATGCCAGAAAACCCATGGTGGAGCCCCCCTAGCCACTAGACTGCAGCTTGCAAACTGCGTAGTTTTTCTTAGCAGTCCTAGCACCAGTGATGCCTGTCTCTCCTTGGTGGGTCAGGCTGAGGCAGAGATCAGGCAAAGGAGCTCACCTTTGCATCGTGAGGAATAGAAGCAAGCAAGTTAGCTACTGCCAGTCAGCCTCCTTGGCCAAGGACCTGGTCCCTCCTATCCTAACTCAGCCCCTTTCCCTACCAACCTAATATATATTCCATACCTTGTTACTAACCAGGTGGCCATACTATGAGCAACAGACCCACAGTGTCGCTCCCTTCCTGCCTCTTTAATGGTGATTTAAAGCCCAACACATTAGGATGCCCAGAACCCAGCTGTCCTCCTCAGAGCTCTTCCCCAGCATGTACTCCAATCCCTTAGGGACCAGCCTGGCTACTCTGCATGCATCCTCCCTCCACAGCCAACAGTGGTCCAGGACAAAGGGGAAACTAAAATGCTGAGTGTCAAACTGCCATTTGTGACCTCACTACTTGTACACCTTTAAGCACAGGGCTGCCTGCCCAGAGTTAAGAACTCTTAACCATGACCTTATATGAGACCCTCAAGGAGCTGAAAGCAATGTGGTCAGATTGGCCACACGTAGGATCTCCTTCTGCCCAGGTTCTGCCTGGCCTACTGGGAGGGCTGATCTAGTCATAACTCTCACCTCTGTCTCTGGCAGGTGACATCCAGACATCTCACAATGTCTCTGGCAAGGACATTGTAGGTAAACAGGGCCTCTTCCTTCACCTAGAGCTAGCCAGTGAATTCCATGGTCCCATGCACCTGGGGAAAGGGAAACCCATGGATGGGCCCCTTCCCTCCATCCCAATGTGATGGGGCAGAGAGGCAACCTAGGTAGGGGTCCGGTTACCTTTCTTGCCCACATGGGGGAAGGGAAGGACCTGATAGAAGATGAGGGACCTCACTACCCACATAAACATGGGGTGGGTGTGAGTCACCTGAAGCCCACATCACCTTCTGAGTCAGTGAGGGTGGAGTGAAGGGGAGCCTGGAGTGCAACACACTGTCCTTAGGTCATCAGATACACAGCTCCCATGATACAGATGCCAAGAGGCCCTGGGACACCTGAGGCCTCCTTTGGGTACCTGCTTCGCCTAAGGCCTAGGGAAAGGCTCTGCCCAGGCAGTTCACTCAGCAGAGCTATACTACCAGGGCACTGGAGACCATGGAGCAGAGGCAGACAGGGCAATGCCAGCATGTGCATGCTCCTAAAGAGTTTGCTATGGAGGGAACTTGATGGGTCCGGAAGGCTTCTCCAAATGGCCTCTGAAGGATGTCCATCATTGTTAATGAGTGAGGGGCTTTAGGCTGGAGATTCCTGGAAGGGGATGACTTCTCTGGCAGGGACATTGTAGGTAGACAGGGCCTCTTCCTTCACCTAGAGCTAGCCAGTGAATTCCATGGTCCCATGCACCTGGGGAAAGGGAAGCCCATGGATGGGCCCCTTCCCTCCATCCCAATGTGATGGGGCAGAGAAGCAGGCTAGGTAGGGGTCCGGTTACCTTTCTTGGCCACATGGGGGAAGGGAAGGGCCTGATTCTAGCACAAAAGGCCCTTGTGTGAGTAGCAGGCACCTGGAGGGGGAGGGATACAGTCCACTGGGCAGGACTACTACTTGGGGGACAGGCTGCTTAGGGACTTGTGGGATCTCAAAAGGTGAGTTATGCCTAGATACAGCCCCCAGCTCTCCTAGGAACCTAAATACGGTGTGGAAGAAGCTGGACCCATCTTATATTGGGCAGTTCCAGTGAGCCCTCCCAGTCCTGACAGGTTGTTGAAATGTGGGCACCTGCATCTAGAGTATGGCCCCTTTTTAGGGGCGGGCCCAAGGCTACAGCTCAAGACTTCCTGGCATCTCCAAGCACCCCTTTTCCTGTTACCCAGCAGTGGGAAGAGTAGCTTCTCCTTGCAATAGGTATTTGGGAAACTGTATGCTGAGGGGATTCTAGCCCATGGAAACCACTGGCCACTGTCTGGTAGGGAACAGCCGCTGTTCTTCTCTCAGTGCCCATCCCAGAGGAGGCCCCGAGAACTTTGAGGAGAGATTAAGCCTGTGTCACCCCTCTAGCTTGGCATAGCCTCCAGGGGCCCCTCATCTCTAATTCTTCATGCTCAGGAGGTGGGGCCACTCTACTCTGCCCCACCCCAAGACAAGAGGACACCTGCCAAGGGTTGCAGCCAGCCTCCAACCCTCCTCTAAAAACCATCCTTCTGGCCACATCCTGGCAGCCTGCAGCCCCTGTCCTGGGCAGGTCTGACTGCACAAGTGGAAAAACACCGATCCCATAGTTTCCATGTGAAGTCTTCCCACTGCGGTCTCTCCTCACTGCAAGGAGGGAGGGATACAGAGTGTGGTGCGGGGGCCAGGGCCAGGGGCAGCCAGCTTCTCTGCTTACGCGCTGGGCCTCCTGCCCATCCATCTCTCCCAGACACTACAAGGAGGGGCTGCTGCTTCAGGACCCACAATTCTTCCTTCTTTCCTGTCCACCACAGGCAGCCAGCGGAGTTGGCTAGGCAGAGGCAGGAGGCCCTGGGGTTCAGGAGGAGAAAGCAGTCATGGTCACTGAGTGCTCAGTGGTTGTCAGTTCTTTGCTAGGCTCTGTATGCATCAGCCACTGGGTACTGATGACAGCCAACATCCTAAGGTCATGTGGTAAAAGCATGACAGGGTTGGGTTAGGAATTGGGCTGGGGGTACCAGGGTTAGGGCCTTGACTCATTACTGCTGGGGTCTGCATTTGGGGGCAAAGGCTAAAGAATTCCCTTCTGGCCTTTCCTGATCATAGCTATCCTTTGAACCCTGACTCAGGCTTCGCTGCTCCCAGGGACAGAAGATGTGCTCCAGGAGGCCTCTGCTGCCACTTCTACTGCCATTCCTGCTGCTGTTTCTGGAGTCCAGAGTACAGGGCTGCCCATCTGGCTGCCAGTGCAACCAACCACAGACAGTCTTCTGCACTGCCCGCCAGGGGACCACACTACCCCGAGATGTGCCATCTGATACCACAGGCCTGTATGTCTTTGACAATGGCATCACCACACTGGATGTGGGCAGTTTGGCCAGCCTGCCAGGCCTGCAGCTCCTGGATTTGTCACAGAATCAGATCACCAGTCTGCCCGGTGGCATCTTCCAGCCTCTTGCCAATCTCAGCAACCTGGACTTGACTGCTAACAAGCTACGTGAGATCACCAATGAGACCTTCCGTGGCCTGCAGCGCCTTGAGCGCCTCTACCTGGGAAAGAACCGCATCCACCACATCCAGCCAGGTGCCTTTGATGCCCTTGACCGCCTCCTGGAACTCAAGCTGCAGGATAATGAGCTGCGGGTGCTGCCCCCGCTGCGTCTGCCCCGCCTCCTGCTGCTTGACCTCAGCCACAACAGCCTCCCAGCTCTGGACCCTGGCATCCTAGACACCACTAACATGGAGGCCCTGAGACTGGCTGGCCTGGGGCTAAGGCAGCTGGATGAGGGGCTCTTTGCCAGGCTACATAACCTCCACGATCTGGATGTGTCCGACAACCAGCTGGAGCGCATACCTGCTGTGATTCGAGACCTTCGGAGCCTGACGCGTCTGCGGCTGGCTGGCAACACTCGCATTGCCCAGCTGCGGCCTGAAGACCTGGCTGGCTTAGCTGCTCTGCAGGAGCTGGACCTAAGCAACCTGAGCCTGCAGGCCCTGCCCAGTGACCTCTCAGGCCTCTTCCCCCGTCTGCGACTCCTCACGGCTGCCCGAAACCCCTTTAACTGTGTGTGCCCTTTGAGTTGGTTTGGCCCCTGGGTACGTGAGAGCCATATCACACTAGCCAGCCCTGAAGAGACACGCTGCCATTTCCCACCAAAAAATGCTGGCAAATTGCTGCTGGAGCTTGACTATGCCGACTTTGGCTGCCCAGCCACCACGACCACGCCTACAGTACCTACTACAAGGCCCAAGGTGGAGGAGCCCACACTTTTGCCTTCCAGCTCAGCTCCCATCTGGCTTAGCCCCACAGAGCCAGCCACTGAGGCCCCTAGTTCACCATCCACTCCCCCACCAACTATAGGGCCTGCTCCCTGGCCCCACGACTGCCCAGTTTCTACCTGCCTCAATGGGGGCACCTGTCACCTAGGGGCAAGGCACCACCTGGAGTGCCTTTGCCCTGAGGGCTTCATAGGCCTATACTGTGAGAGCCATGTTGGGCAAGGAACACGGCCCAGCCCCACACCAGACACACCAGGTCCCCCGCAGCCTCTGCCCCTCGGCATTGAGCCAGTGAGTCCCACTTCCCTGCATGTGGGGCTGCAGCGCTACCTGCAGGGCAATACCATGCAACTCAGGACTCTCCGCCTTACCTACCGCAACCTGTCAGGCCCTGACAAGCGGCTGGTGACCCTGCGGCTGCCAGCCTCGCTTGCAGAGTACACAGTCACCCAGCTGAAGCCTAACTCTACCTATACCATCTGTGTTATGCCCTTGGGCATTGGGCGAGTGCCTGAGGGCAAGGAGGCCTGTGGGGAGGCCCAGACACCTCCAGCTGTCCTCTCTAATCATGCCCCGGTCACCCAGGCCCAAGAAGGCAATCTGCCTCTCCTTATTGCACCTGCCCTGGCTGCTGTGCTCCTGGCTGCCCTGGCCGCCATGGGTGCAGCCTACTGTGTGCGGCGGGGGCGGGCAGCAGCTGTGGCTCAGGGCAAGGGGCAGGTGGGACCAGGGGCTGGGCCCCTGGAGCTGGAGGGGGTGAAGACCCCCTTGGAGCCAGGTCCCAAGACAACTGAGGGAGGAAGGGAAGCCCAGCTAGATGGGCCTGAGTATGAAGTGCCACTCATGGGCTACCCTGGGCCCAGCCTCCAGGGGTCCCTCCCCACAAAGCCCTATATCTAAGCCTGGGAGTGATGGAGTAGCAAAAGGACCACTACCCTCCTGCTGTCACACAAGTTCTCATTCATAAAACAGAGACACATGCAGGGTGGGGTTCTGTAACCACAACCAGAACCTGTCCCTCTCTGGGCCTTAGTCTCATCTGTGAGCTACTGCAACCTGGGTGACAAGTTCTAATAGCCACGAGCCGAAGGGAATGAGGCACTGGAAGGTCAGTGTCTGCCCATTCTGGGGCGTGCAATCTGGAGTGTGGTGGCCCCGCCGTGTGCTGGTAACACAGGCCAGGGCTCCAGGCCAAAGACCTGGGGGCAAGTGAAGGAAGCCCCCAGAGGGAGCAGGCAGGAACAGCCCCGTAGCTCCAGCCTTGCCCCAGAAGCACAGGAACATGAGAAACTGGAAAGGAAGGTACCATGGCAACGTGTGGATTTGCTTCTGTTTTAGTTTTTGAAGTATATTTATGAGATCCTTTTCCCATTTATGCTGGGAAAATGTTCTTCAAACTCAGTGTCGAGGACTTTTTTTTTTTTTTTTTTAAGACAAATGATGATATGAAGGCTTTTTGTAAGAAAATAAAAGATAAAAACCATGAATGTTTCTTGGGGTTGGCCTAGGGTAATGGAATGGGTGCAGGAGTGTGTAGAGGGCCTGCCCTCTCTGTGGGCAGCTGTGGCACTTCTCCCTCCTGGGCACCTGGTCTGGGCCTGGAATGCTACTACCAAGGCCCACTTTGGAGAAGGGACCATTTAGGGTACCTTCACCCTATTAGCCCAGTCTTCTGCTAACAGGAGCTACAGTGCCTGTGTGTGAGGCTGGGAGAGGTGTGTAGCAGATGAGGAGCACAGAGGGTTTCTAAGACAGGTCATGCCTTCCTTGGGCAGGCCTGACAGTCACTTCCCCACCTACCTCTTCGGGAGGACAAAGGTCTACCTTAAGCGGTCTCATTCCTGGGCCTCATAGCTAGTTCTAGAGCTGGGAGACCCCAGAACCATCTGGCAGGTCTTAGGCCAGCCAGGTGATGAGCTTGGCCTCAGCTCCTCTTTGCTGTCTCACTGCCCCCTGCACAGGACTCAGTTAAGAAATCCCACTTCGGGGGCTGGGGATTTAGCTCAGCGGCATAAGCGCCTGCCTTGCAAGCAGGCAGTTGTGAGTTCAAACCCCGGTACCGATAAAAAGGAAAAAGACCAAAAAAAAAAAAAAAAGAAATTCACTTCACTTCCTACCCTATCTATGAAGAAGGGCCCTGGCTGGAGGGAAGCATCTATCCATCACCAGTTGGTGGGGAGAGAAAGGATATGCCAGCAACTGTTAGTGGCAGACTTAGGATAGGACCTGAAGGCCAAGTCTGGCTTGCAGATGGTACCAAACTTGGTAGTCCTGTGTTTCCCCCCTTGACCCCTGCGCTGGGGATGTGCTCAGGTGCTCCAGAACTCCCAGAGGTAGGGGTGTTTTCCAGGAAGGCTGAAGGTTCAGGTGAAACCGGCAGGGATGTGGAGGACAGTATGACCTGAACTGGGTGCAGGGAGCTTGGGGACAGTAACACAGCACCTTTTCCTGTTACCTCCCAGGGAGTGAGAGGGGAGACGGCCTTGGCCCAAAAAGAGGCCCAACAAAAGCTGGAGCTCAACCAACTCCCAAAGACTCCAGGGCCATGTCCTATGGGTCAATCCCCTGGCCCCCAGCCTTATGCCTGATGGGAAGGAGGCTGTCTAGCCAGACCCAGAGTGCAAGCCCTGCGGCTCAGGGTGTTGATGTCAGCACCGAGTCAGCCCCAGCCACGCGAGGCTCTGGATTCAATTAGTGGCTGCTGAGGGCTCTGGCACAAGGAAGGAGGTGGCGGGCAGCAGGTCATGCGGGCAGTGGGTGGTGGCAGTGGGCCTGGGTGGAGCCTCTTCCTCCTGAAGTGGTGGAGGCGGCAGCAACCCAGGTGGATTTCCTGTAGGCCTGTGTCCTATTAGAACTGTGACCATGGTGAGGCCTCTCCCCCTTCCCCATCAGCCCTGTCAAAGGGGCCTTTGTGGGCCTGTGGCTGCTGTAGATGCAATGGCTGCTGAGTAAATGTTTTCACTACAAAGCAAACCTGGTTGGGTAGCAGGAAATCCAGAGAAAGGGGCCTCCCTGGGGAGGTTTTTAGAGTGTCTGCCCTCCAATGGGGACTAAGCCAAGATGTAGCCTCTACCCAGGATAATGCACTGGTTTCAGGCCAGGAACCAGAGGCACATACGGGAATATACTCATCCCATCACTGGATTCTGACTGCCACAGGCCTGTGTTGTGCAGGCACTCCGTTCACAGCCAACAAGCCCCTGCACTGCAGAAAGGTGGGACAGGAGCTTGCTCAGATCTCAACACCTTGCCAAGGTAGGGCAACCTGCCATGCAGGAGGGAGTGGGGCACAGGATAAGCGCCTCTCAGTTCACACCCTAACACAGCAACTGAGACAGGTATCTCTGTCTTTCCAGGACCAGACATAAGTGGTGCCTCCAGTCCCTCTCATTATTTCCCCCTTTCTACCCTGAGCCGTGCCTGGGGTCTGGCACACAGAAAATGCCAGGCAACCTTGTAAGAATGACAGGATGGCCTGGCTCCCAAGCCCCTACTCTGCTCCCTGTGGCATGCTTCCTTGTAGACACTCCACAAATGGCAGTGAGGAGAGAGATAGGAACCACAACAGCCCCTGGGATGGATGAGGAGAAGCACCAGGGACAGGAAATGTGCCAGAGTCCTGGCCTCTACAGTTCTTAAGAGCACACACTGTTCTGCCCAAACCAAGATGGAAAATCTGTAAAACAAGAATTGAGGGCAGCTGAGTGGACACAGATGTCAACCTCCCCCATGGCTGTGCCCACAGTTAACGCCCTGCACACTTTCTGTCTTGTGTCAGTGGGCTTCCAGAGTGCCTGGGACGGCAAGAGGCCCGCCACCTCTCAGAACAGCCTGGAGGCTGGCAAGCCATCCTTGGCGCCTACTTTCATGGAGGCTGGAGAGTCCCAGGTCCTTTGCCAAGGCTACAGACCTACTGGGGTAAGGGGCAGGGGCTGGTCGGGATGGAGGGGCGGGACACTGAACTGCACCCATCTGGGAGTGATTTGAGCAACTCCAGTCCTCCCTGGTCCTTCGAGGCTATTCTTAACTGCTGTAATTACAGGGTCAGCCTGGCCAGTGGCACCATGGGGTCTGGGCATCATTAACTATTTCAGGGGCCATGCAGGGGCTGGACAGGGGAGAGGGGCCCATAGCTGACGGTGGAGCTCAGAAGACAGGAAGTGGTGGCGCTGAGTGCTGATGCCAAGCCCCTTTTCACCCACAATGCCTCTGCTGGGGGGCGGCAGGGAAGAGGCCAACCGGTGTGGGAAGGTCTGGAGAATGAGATGCCATAGCAGGGCCAGAGATAAGATGGTTACTGAAAATGGATGTGAAGAACCAAGGTCTGACTGCTCTAATTCCAAGGCAGGGGGACTCCTGTTGACTCCTTTCCTGATACCACCCCCACAAAGCCAGAGCACAGGAGGCTGACAACCCCGGCCTTTTACATGCTCAGTGGTTTCAGGAAAGGACCCAAATGTCACTCAGTTTTGCTCTCCTCATGTGTAAAACTGCCTCACTAGCATCCTTCTTGGGTTTAAGAGGCTAGGATAGAGGTTTCTGTGCCCCTAACCAGTCTTCCTTTGGGGGAGCTCTCAGCCAGGGAACCTATTAGCAGGATCTCTTACAGGCACTCAGGTGAGGGTTCTTTCAGGGGATATGAGGGAGACCCGCAGTCCTCTCTGTCCCCAGATACATTACCCTTGCTACTCCTGGATCTTGGGCTGCCCCCTGCCTCTCTATGACTCAGTTTCTTCAGTTGTGAAATGCAGGAAAGATGGGGCTGGGTGAGCCATGCTGGCTCTGGTATTTCCCAATCCTCTCCCCGAGAGGTCTCAGCCAGGCAACCTGTGAGTCACTGCTGAAACAGACTGAGGCATCAGAACAGGGACCAAGTCCCGGCCTCCTCCCCACAGATGGCCTGGCCAAGTCTCGGACCTTGCCTGAGCCTCGGTTTCCTCAGCCGTAATGTGCTTAGTTGAGTGTACCAAATGGACTGGTCCCTTGCAGTGTTTGCCTGGAGACTGCTGGTGGCTGGCTCTACAGCCACTGTGGACCAAGGCCATCTTTGCACAAAGCAGTGACACGGGAGGCTCGGTGAAAGGATGAGACACACCTGGACCTCTCATGCTGCACAGGCTCCAACTTCATATGGGAACAAACCAGGGACAGCCAAGTGGCAGTTACTGAGTGAGCTTCAGACCTCAGTGGAGTCCAGGCCCACGCGTACCTCCCTTATCTGCCCATCTGTCCCAGTATCACTCCATGTCCAACCGGTATCTACCTTCCCATCATTGCCTCAGACCTGAATGGGTCTTGAGGCCCCCAGAAACATTCACAGCAAAATCAAGCATATTCCTGTGTTTCATCAGTGTTAGAAGTGTGGGTCACAGCTCCCTCCCCAAATGCCAAAACACATCTGGATGAGCTTGAGGCTATGGAAGAGGTCCCATGGTTGAGGACTCACTCTGCTTTCATGGGCCCACGGTGACAAGGTAGAACATATCCATCCGCTCAGTACTTTCTACTCATGAGAGCTGGGGCTCCTGAAGGCTAGGACCAGGTCTTACCATAGTCCAGGCCTGCCTCAAACTCACTATGTAGTCCATATGGACTCAAACTCAGGGATCCTCCTGCCTCAGCCTCCCAAGTGCTGGGATTACAGGTATGAGCCACTATGCTCAGCTCTATTAGGCCAGATTCTTTTGGAGAGACCTCGTAGACCAACTCAGGAACCTGTACATTCAGGTGACCTGCCCTTAGATTTTTTTTTGTCTTTTTCCTTTTTATCGGTATCAGGGATCGAACTCACGACTGCCTGCTTGCAAGGCAAGCACTTATGCCGCTGAGCTAAATCCCCAGCTCCCTGCCCTCTAGACTTACAGCGTGGGTCAGAAGTCCTCACTAGTGACACTCACGCACTGTACCTGAATTGAGGACACTGTCCAAGCCTTGGGCCCACAGCCTCCAACCCCAGTGTGCCATATCACCTACCCAGGAGAGGTATCCAGGGTGAAGGAGGCCAGGGCACTGGTGAAAAGTCGAGTGTCCCACAGTTTCACTTCTCGCTCACGCATCTGGGTAGGGGCAGAAAGAGGCTCAGAAGAACCTGGCCCTCAGCCCCACCCCAAGGTTCCAGGAAGCCAGGGCCTGAGGGTGCACCACAGTATGGGGCACCTGCCCAGAGCAGCGGGAGTCATGCCAGGGAGGGGGAATTTAGGTTTTCATGTCCTTTTCCTTTAAGAACTCTTAGGTGACAAGGAGCAGTTCCTTCCTTAGACGCTGGTCCCTATGGGGCCACCACAGATCTCAAGGTCAGGCTTAGCTATTGCAAATGGAATTTGCCAGTTTTCCACAGCCATCAGTCCCCTGGGGTTCTGAGACCCAGATCCACAGCCAGGCCGTATATGGACAGGCCTGCAACTGGCCAGCAGCCCCCCACCTCCCCGTGGTTTCACCCCCTCACCTCCCAGTGGTTTCACCCACTATTTCGGGGCAGGAGCCCAAAGGGCTAAGCACATGCCCATCTGGCAGTACCTTGCGCAAACCAGAAGAACCCTTACCTGGTTGAATCCAGTGGATACAAGGTGCTCCTGGGAGGCTGTCCATGCCACCCGGCTATCCTTGCTGTTCATGTGGGCCTGCACGCTCTGCAGAAGCAAGATACCGTGCTAAGTCACTGGGCCCCCATAGTGAGCTCGACCTGGAGGCATCCCGCCCACAAAAGACAAGTGGAGCCAGGTCTGCTTCCCCTAGGAAGGCCCTATGGCTGGCCAGGATGGAAATTTCCCCAGGGGGGCTTTTTACGTAGACAGGATGACCCTGCCACCACCCTGAAGGCAGGTCTGCACCCAAAGTCCACCCTGGTCGCCAGACTTGGACTTGGGGTCTCTCCCGAGAGAAATGCCAGTGCAGCCATGCTGAGGCCAAAGGTGGCAGCGCTCAGTGGAGCTGCTCAGCTCTGTTTTGGCTGTGGCCCTACAGCCAAGACCTGTGTGACTGTGGAGGCCTCATACTTTTGGGAACCTCATTTTTCTTGCTTTATAAACAGGGCTCATGGTGCCCACTCCTGGGAGCTATTGCAAAGATGAAATGAAAGTATGTGTGGAAAGGCCAGGCCTTGGGCAAAGCGCCGTGCAAATCGGAGGATTAGGAGGATTACTGCTGCCTCCTAATGCTGCCAGCAGGCCAGAGGGAGGGCCTGGGGCCAAGCTCCAGGGAACATCCTGGAGATGGCAGAGGGGTGGCCCCTGTGGCCTCTTGAGGTGCTGGAACTGCATGGAGAAAGGCTTGTGCCCCCAGGAAGGAGAGGAAAGTTCACATCCCAGGCAGGCGGCCCTGTCCCTTTGGGCCCTGGCAGGGGAAGCTGGGGGGCTAGAGGAAATGCAAACAGCTCCCTCCCAGTCACCCTGCCCCTTGGAGCCTGAGACAAGGACCCTGTTACCAAAAATAGTTCACCCCAAATGTGGCCAGCCTCCTCCAAGCTTCCCACGATCTTGGGAATGAATGAGGGAGGGAAGCAGCCTCAAGGAGCTGGCCCAAGGGCCCCTCCCCAGCCCACAGAGGCCGACCCCAGCGTGGGAGAGCACTGGAAATGCTCCGCATCGTGTCATTCAAGGGGCTTTTCTCACTGCTCCCTTCCCACTCAGCCACAGCAGCTCAGGAAGTGAGGACTAGAGCCTGAGAACCAGGATTCCATATTCCTCTCTATGTAAGATGAGTTGGGGGGGGTGTTAAGACAAGGGCCAGGCACTGGCCAGCCCCACCCTTGATAATCCCAAATGAGTCAAAGTGTCACTTGGGCTCCTATCCTCTTGTTGATGTCCAAATAACACTGTGTAAGCAGCAAACCAGATGATTTTCAACTGGTCCGCATATCATTTATTCAATCAACAAACATAGGAGGCTTCCCAAGCCAAGGACTGTGCCAAGAGCTGGAGTGGGGCTGAATGGTTCTCAGAGGATCAAGAAGGTAGGTGAGGCAGCTTTGCTCACTCATTTTTTCTTTTATAATATGAATATTTAAATTGCATACTCTCTTAAGAGCTAGAAGACATGGTGAACGAAATAAACAAGGTCCCCAAACCATGCAACAGTCACACTAGGGAGACAAGCTGGACCAGAGACGAGTAACTATGTTATTACACATTACTGTTTGTGCCAGTGTGGAGCGGACAGGTCAAGGAAGCAAGCTCCAAGTCAAAACCCCAGCCCTGTTCTAGCGCTCTGCCCCAGGATGAATTATACAACACTGCTGTTCCTCAGGTTCCCTGCTGTAAAAAGTACTGAAACCGGCCCTCCCCTTTGGAGGACTATCTCAAGGAGTCAACACTTACGAAGTGTTCAGGACTGTGTCTGGAGCATATCAAATGTGTTTCTTAAAAGGCTGATAATAGTATAATTAGAGCATAACTGAAGTCACTGTGAAGTTATCATTTGAGTGAGGAAGGGAAGGCCAGCAGGTATGAGCCACACAGGGAGGGGAAGGAGCATCGCTGTCAGAGCCTGGAAGCACAGAGGCTGGTACAGTTGGTGAGTGGGGGCAACGGAGGCAGCCAGGCTAGGCTTGCAGGCCTGAGGTGGGAGGCCGCTGTTGAGCATTTCTACCCAGAGGCACAGGTTGGGGCACACTGTACCTTGGTCCACAACTCCTGGCTTCCTGTTTACACACAGAGAAATCGGGGCCCAAGGAGGAAAAGCTGCCCTGCTAGAGTCACCCAGGAACACAGCTGCACCCCGTGAACTGGGCTTTGTTATCTGAGTTTGCAAAAGAAGGATCTGAGTCTCAGAGGTAAAGATCTGTACAATCACAGGTAGAAGGCAGCAGACAGGACCACCACTGCCCTCCCAGATGTTCCCCTGGTTCCCAGCAGTATCTCCAGACCAGCCTTCACTTCACACAGTACCAGTCTTCTGGGCAGGGGAGCTGGCGGACTCTGAGAATAAGTCAAGCATCAGGGAAGCCAATCTCTGCCATGGCCATGCCCAGAGGTTTGCCTAAGGGCCACAGAAGCAGAGAGGTCAGCAGGCACCTTTGCTTATCTAACACAAGATCACTGGAATGACTTCAAGTTACAAAACTGGAACTGGGCTGTGATGGCACACACCTGTAATCTCAGCACTCTAGTAGGATGAGACAGGAGGATGGCAAGTTCAAGCATAGGAACTTAGTGAGTTAATGGGATACTATCTCAAAATAAAGAAAAATTTAAAAAGGGCTGGGTATGAATCTCAGTGCAAAGGCCCTGGTTCAATCTCCAGTACCACCACGATCATTTAAAAAAAAAAAAAAAGGAACATTCTTTGCTCACCTCAATGAGGCTTGAGCCTCTGGGAGGAGAAGCCCTCCCTCCAGATCTTCAGTCTCAATCTCCTGGGTCCAAGGAAGGCTGCTGCTGGAACCCAGGCATCTGCTACCCGTAAGTCCCAGTTCTGTTATTAAGAGACCCCTTGGGAAGGGAGTGGGAGGCCAGATTACCAAATTGTCTCCCAAAGGCAAGGTTCTGCCAGGAGATGGCTTTTGTCCCCACAGACTACAAGGCATCCTACTAATGGAGGAAGAAGCCAAAGAGGCATTGCTGCTTCTTAGTTCCTGGACCAAAGCCCACCCCATTCCTAGCCTTGGGAAGAGAACAGGAGGGGCAATAGCCAAGTAGCCCCAGGGCGGGGGTACGGGGCAGAATACCCAGCATTCCAGCTGCAGTGCAGCCAAATCCCAGTGGCATAATGACACTTTCTGTGTGGGGCAGGGTGGCTCTGGGGGCAGCCCTGGGCTCCTTCCTACGGTGAAAGGCCCTTTTCCTATGGTGAGACCCCTATGTGGCTCCTTGACCAGGCTCAGTGCTGGGCTCTGGATGTTCATCCTCATGCCTGCCTATCTTGTCACAGGAGTGCAGCTCAGGAGGAACTGGCACCAGCCCAAGAGAGAGTCCAAGGCCTTCCTGGACCCTTCTCATCCCTGACCAGGGCACTGAGGCCTTATCAATGCTTGAGCACCCCCTAGCCTTGGGCCGCTGCTTCCCTGTATAGATATAGCTCCCCTGGGCTCTGGCTGGTGACAGGGCAGCAAAGTTGGGGGGGGGGGTTCGTCCCAGCCTCTGACACCATGCTGTGTGACCCTGGAGCAGTGACAAAAGTCTTGGCCTTTGGTGTCCTGGCCTAGACAAAAGAAAGAACCAAAGGGCCAACAGAAGTCCTGCATGCTAAGTACCTCGCACATAAAGAATAGCCATAGGGCTGGGGATTTAGCTCAGCAGCATAAGCACCTGCCTTGCAAGCAGGCAGTCGTGAGTTCGATCCCCAGTACCGATAAAAAGAAAAAAGACAAAAAAAGAAAAAAAAAAAAAAGAATAGCCATAAACACAATCCAAAAATAAAGTAGGGACAGGGCCTGACTCAGTGTCATACAACTGTTGTCCCAACTACTCAGAAGGCTAAGGCAGGCCAGGTATGGCAGAACACACCTGTGATCCTAGCACATGGGAGGCAGAAGCAGGAGGACTGCCATGAGTTTGAGCCTAGCCTGGACTGTGTTAAGTGTAAGGCCACCTTGAGGTATATGGTGAGACCCTGTCTCCAAAAAAACCAAAACCAAAACAAACAAAAAGAAGACTAAGACAGGAAGATCACACCTTTGAGGTCAATCTGCCCAACACAGTGAAACTCCATTAAAAAAAAAATTTTCAAATACAAAGTGCAGGAAAATAAATAAATACACAGCAAGTCCCAGGCCTGAACAGAAGGGGGCTGTCCCAGGTCCCCTGCTCTGAGTTGTAGTAGCTGTCAGGACTTCTCCTGGCCCTGTATGAGCACTCCAGTGACAGTCCAGGGCTTAGAAGAAGTGACACTCCAAAGATCAAAGGTAGGACAAAGGGCAACATACCCTTCCAGACCCGCAGCCATGGCCCTGGCCAGGCAGAAAATGGGATTTCAAAGAAGCCATTACCACAAGCTTCTCCCTGACTGGCCCCTCGGCTCACACGGACCCTGGCTGCCAGCAGCAGTTTTCCTAATAGAAGCCAGGTGTGGGCCAGATGCCCTGGGCGGAAGTGGGGGGCAGGGCTGGGCGGTGGGCGGCATTCCAGCCTGCGGCCCCCGCACCAGCAGTGGGGAAGGCGAGCGCCCACGCTCTTCCCAGATCTCCTCACCCAAGCCCCTTCGGGGGACTCCCCAGACTCAGATCCTCCCTGCTCTTTAAGAACACAGAGCCCCTTGGCTTGCAGCCACTCCTGCTCCACCTCAGCCTCACCACAACCCACCCCTGCTGCAGAAGGACAGGGGAGGGGGGAGAAGGCTGGAAGGAGGGCAAGAAGAAGAAAACACTCGGGGGGCTGGCCCAGCACAGCACCCAGGCCGGCAGGAGTGCAGGTGCCTGTGCACCGGCCTAGCCAGGACTCTGAGAAAAGAGCTCTGGACACTGCTTCTCCCTCTGCCGTCCCACCCCCACCCCCCGCACCTCCTGCCTCTTTGGTTTTTCTTTTCCTTTTTTTTTGGCTTTTGGTTTTTGGAACAGGAACTTGCTATGCAGTCTATGCTGACCAAACTGTCCTCAAACATATGGCAACCCTCCTGCCTCAGCTTCCTGAGTACTGGGATTACAGGAGTGTGTCACCATGCCCAGCCTTCTCTCTTTGTAAACCAAGGCTTGAAAGTCAGTCAAAGAAAGCTACCAAGAGACTCTTTGCATTGGTCCCCACACCAACTGAGACTCAAATGCCCACAGGCCCAGGGGCCAAGCAAGCAGCATCCCCAGGTCACAAGGCTATGTTATGGCCAAACTGCTCTGCCAAGCTGTTTCTCTGTCTTCAGGTGAACAGAGCAGAGCTGACTTTTCCTTCCTGGTGAAAAAGGTCCAATTCGCCACATGACTGGGTTTCTGAGGATGGGCTGCAGGGGCCCCCAGGACACCAGATTTGGTATAGTATCCTTGACCCCAGGTGGTAGACAAGTCCCACAGATGGCAAGAGGGGCTATGTGTAATGGGGAGGCTACTCCCCAAATCCAGCAGCAGAAGCCTACAATCACCTCTCTGGGGGAAGAAGCTACAGCTACTTGAAAGTTTTGTTTTGTTTGAGTTTTTCTGAGACAAGATCTCCCTACATAGTTCAGGCTTCAAGCTGGCTTTAAACTCACTATGTAGCCTAAGCTTGGCCTCAAATTCAGATATCCTTTTCCCTCAGCTTCTCAAGTGCTGAGATTATAGGCATGTGCCATCATGTGGAGTTAGAAAGTTCTTTTGAGAAGCATAAATCCATTCATCTTACTTCTGGCTTAAAACTCTTTGATGGCTTCACATGGCCTGCTTCCCCTTGTATTCCTTGGTGAAATCCTGGGACAACCTCAACATACCTCAGGACACTTGCACATGTGTCCTCCTGACAAAACTCAGGCCTCAGCTCTAAGCCAGTTGCTCTGGGAAGCACTAAACCCTCAAGAGAAGTTACCAGACAAGCCCTGTGTGTCTGGCTCACCTTAAAGGTCTATTAGAACAAATGGCTCCCTGGGGCTCCACATTTGCTGCATAAACCCAGGTCCCAAAACCCTGAGAATTCAAATGGCCACGTGGACTCTGTGCAGACATAAAATACTATTGCTCCAGGTCCTGTGGACCTGGCAGGCCCTTACCACCCCAGGGTCCTCTGATGCCTAGGACATTAGTAAAGTGGTTCTTTTTGGATATTTTGCAGCTGGCCTCTGTGCCAGGGACAGAGGCTGGGAGGGTGTGTGTCTCAAGGAAGGGTAGGAAACTGGAATCTCAAATTACTTTCCTGAAATTATAGACACTTCACCAATTTCTTGTGGGCAGCCTGGATGCCCCCTACCCTGTGATCAAAGCCAGGCCCTCCCAGGACCCAGCACTGTCTTCCCAGAAGGAGATTCTAGCAGCAGCCTGAGCCTGACATTCACCCCAACTGCCTCTGTCCTCACATTTCATGGAAGCTCCACTTACCCGCTACTCACACGACTTACCTGAGAGGCCTCAGGCTTTGCCCTGGGGTCAAAGATCCGTAGCTGCTTATCCTAGAAAAGCAGAGAGGGGAAAACAGAGCATGCAGTTAGAGCCAGAGGATTCCTGAGCTTGTCTCCCTACTTCAGGTTCCAATCAGCCTATGTCCCAACACGGAGGGTTGGCACTGCACACCAGGAGGTATCTCCCCAGCCCAGTTCCTGCTTCCTCCTCCTGCGGGGGCAGGTCCATCAGTCCACCTCCCTGAGCACCTACTATGAGCCGGGTACATCACACACAACTTTCCCTTATTTCTCCAATGACTTTATAAAAGAGTGTCATTACTATGACCCATGAACCCTATTACATGTACAGAAATGGAGGCCGAGAACCAAATTTGAAGCTACCAGCTGTTTCATGTGTGTCTGGTCTGATGCTAGGCTCAGCCTGGTTCATGAGTTGACATCATTTTCCGCACTTAAAGAACTTTTTACCAGGAATATGAGCTAATACTTCCTAACTATCCACTCAGCACAGTTAAAGATCCAAACTAGCCAAGGTTAAGGATGGATTAAAAAAAAAAAAAAAAAACCTACAATAAATACCCAAACCTCACTCAGGTCCTTATTCCTGCAGAATAATCTGTGTGTGTGTGTGTGTGTGTGTGTGTGTGGGCACACGTATATGTTTATACAAGCATAATTATATTAGTACTTAACAACAGGGCTGGGAGTATAGCTCAACAGTACAGCACTTGTCTGGCATGCGTGAGGCCCTGGGTTTGAATCCCAGCGCCATACACACATACACCCCCCCAAAAAAAACAAACAAAACAGAAAGAAAAAACAGGGCATGGTGATGCATACCTGCAATTCTAGTTTTTGGGAAGCTGAGGCAGGAGGATTACGAGTTCAATATCAGCCTGGACTATATAGCAAGGTTAAGGACAGCCTGACTGCAAAAAAAAAAAAAAAAAAAAAAAAAAAAGAAAGAAAAAGAAAAGCACCAGGGATTTAGCTCTGCAGCACAAGTCCCTGTTACCACAAAAGAAAGAAAGAAAGAAAGAAAGAAAGAAAGAAAGAAAGAAAGAAAGCAAGCAAGCAAGCGAGGCAGGGATCATGGCACATACCTATCATCTCAGCACTTGGGAGGCTGAGGCAGGGAGGACTGCTGCGACTTCAAGGCCAGTCTGGGTTACAGAGTGAAACCCTGACTCAAGCAAGCAAGCAAGCAAGCAAGGAAAAAAAGAAAAAACAACTGGGGCAGAAATAGGGCAGTCTGTGTCCATGATTTATGGACTCAGCCATGATTGGTGATAATAAAGTTATGTGCAAAAAAAGAAATTGTAGAATAACACAGCGTAGTATAATTCTACTGTGATCAAACCAAACAAAAATCTCCCTTTTGGTGACCATATTCCTGTACATTTAGAAGGCATGAAGAACAGCACGGGCCAGTGTGTGAATGTTGGACACAAGGGTGGGAAGTGTAGGGGCTGATCAGCACTTCTTTTTTTTTTTTTTTTCAGATTGGCCCTGAACTCACAAATCTTTCTCTTCAGTAAACTCAGAGAAAGCAGCAGTATAACTATCTTAACTATTTTTATATACATATACATATATGTATGCATATACATATGTTGTTTCTTTCAGTTTCTCACACTAATGAGACAATACAGTGTTTACACATGTGTTTTATGTATTTCACTGAGTATAGTTTCATGTTGCATCCACTTACCTGTAAAGTCTCCAATTTATGCTTCTTGATAGCTGAGCAGTACTCCATTATATAAAAATATCACATCTTTTTGTATACATTCCTCAGTCGATGGGTATTTAGGTTGTTTCCAAGATCTGGCTATTACAAACTGTGCTGCTATAAACATGGGTGTACATATATTGCTGACAGCTACCTTATTCTGACAAAGGAGCCAAACAACTTCACTGGAAGAAAGACAGCCTCTTTAATAAACGGGAGTTTGTAATAGGTAAATCTTAGAAACAGTCCCAACAACCATCAACAAACGAATGGATAAAGATGTGTTCTTTTTCTACATGAAGTACTATTCTACCATAAAGAAGGATAAGCTTGAGACATTTCTAGCTAAATGAATGCACCTTGAGACCATATCTTAAGTGAAATAAATCAGACACACCTGTTTAAATGCTGCATTGTTTCTCTGATGTGAGAAACCAAAAGTGTAAACAAGGACCAAATTGTATAATAGATATTGGGAAATAGGAAGAAAATGTTCAAATAAGAAGGGAATCAAGGGATGGGAAGAAGGAAAGAAGGAACAAGAAAAAATGAAGGAAAAAGGGAAACAAAACTTTTGTAAATACAAGGAGGGAAAGAAGGGTTGGAGAGAAGGGAGGGGAATGGGAAAAAAAGATGACAAAAATGTATCTTGTTTAGGGCCAGGAATATAGCTCACCACCACAGCACTTGCCTGGCAGTGCAAGATCCTGAGTTTGAGTCTTGGTACCAAAACAACAAAAAAAGATATATCATGTATAGGTACAAATTCTCTGTGATGGAGTCGGGTGTGGTGGCTCACGCTTGTAATCCCAGCACTCGGGAGGCTGAGGCAGGAGGATCGTTTCAAGTTCGAGACCAGCCTGGGCTACAAAGTGAGCTCAAGGCCAGCCTGAACTGCATAGTGAGACCCTGTCTCAAAAAAGACCAAAAAAAAAAAATTCTCTATGATGAATGTGATGTAAGCATTTATATATCTTAAAATATACTAATAAAATAACCCAAAAAAAAATGTTGCTGGGAAAACTGGCTTTCCACATGCCAAAGACAGAATCTAGCGTCACCTCTTTTTTTTTTTTTGGTACTGGGGATTGAACTCACTCAGTGTGGTATATATGGACACTCTCCTAAACAGCTGAGTTCAGGTTACAACTAGGTTGTTAAACGAATTGGTTGCTAAATGAAGAATTGTATATAGCATATACATTACAATATTTAGAACAAAGAAGAAGTGATCAAAGGAAACTCCAACCTGATGACACTACTTTTATTTGCATAATTATATGTAGTATTGTAAAACAGACCATAAGACTATAGTACTGTACTGTACAGTAAGCAGAAATTATAGTATTGCATAAATATGATATATCATACAAAGAAAGACATTGAGGCTCTATAAACAAGACATACAGAATTATACAAAAAAAGAGAGACAGATCATAAACCCAAGCAGTGGGTTGTAAGTCTGAACAGTTGTTAAACAGATAGGTTGTTAAATGAGGAACATCTATAAATTCAGTGGGATACTATAAAGCCTTAGAAGGGAAAAAAATCCAAACACGTGCTAAAATGTGGATGAATGTGGCTTATTTCCCTTAGCATTTCATTATGCTAAGGTAAATAAACTAATAGCCAGGCTACATACCTATCTATAATCTGCACTCAGGAGGCTGAGGCCAGAAGACAGCCATGAGTTCAAGGCCAGTCTGAGCTACATAGCAAGACCCTGTCTCAAAAAAAAAAAAAAAGAAAGAAAGAAAGAAAGAAAGAGGCCAGTTAAGTCAGGCATAGTGGCAAATGCTATAATCCTAGCACTCCAGAGGTTGAGGCAGGAGGATCACTGCAAATTCGAGGCTAGCTGTGGCTACATAGTGAGTTCAAGTTCAGCCTGACCCTACATAGTGGACCTTGTTTAAAAAGAAGAGGAGGAAGAGGAAAAGGAAGAAGAGGAAAAAGGAGAAAAATGAAGAAGAGGAAGAGAGGAAGTGAAAAAAGAAAAAGTAAAAAAAGAGAAAGAGGAAGGAAAGAAAAGGGAAAAAGGAAAAGAAGCCAGGCTTCTTGCACACCTGTAATCCCAGCATTTGGAAGACGGAGGCAGGAGAATCTCTGCAAGTTCGAGGCCAGCCTGGGCTACACAGTGAATTCAAGGTCAGCCTGAACTACATATTGAGACTCTGATTCAAAAAAATAAAAAAAATTTTTAAAAAGAAAATAAAATTGGGGGCTGGGGATTTAGCTCAGCGGCATAAGCGCCTGCCTTGCAAGCAGGCAGTCGTGAGTTCGAGCCCTGGTACCGATAAAAAAGAAAAAGACAAAAAAAAGAAAAAAGAAAATCAAAAGGAAAAAAATCAGTGAAAAACAACAACAAATAGTATATGATTCCACTTTTATGAGGTATCTAAAGCAGTCAAATTCACAGGTATAGAAAGCAGAATGGTCGTTTCCAGGGACTGGGAATGGAGCAAAGAGAAATGGCTGTTTAATGGACATAGTTTCCATTTTACAAGATGAAAAAGTCCTAGATATCTATTTCACAACAATGTAAACAAACTAGTGGACTATCCATTTGAAAAAGGTTAAAATGAAAATGTTTGGGTTTTTTAACCAGCTTTTAAGAAAATAAGTCTATGAAAACATAGATGAACTTCAAATGAATGTCAGTAAGTAAAGAAAGTCACATACTACCAAGGCGTGGTGACGCATGCCTATAATTCCAGCACTCTGGGAAGCTGAGGCAGAAGGCTCACAAATTCAACCCTAGCCTGAGCAATTTAGTGAGATTCTAACTCAAAAATAAATAAATAGGACTGGGGATGTAACTCAGTGTGATGGCTCAAATTCCAGTACATACACACATACATACATGCCATACTATATGATTCCAACTACTGACGTTCTGGAAAAGACAAATTCTATAGAGAAAGCAAAAAGATCAGTGCTTCTCAGTTTTTTAGCAAGAGGCCCACAGGGAAGATGAACTTTATGGCAGCAAAACTATTCTGTACAATACTGTAATAGACATATTTATCAAAATACATAATGTACAAAACAAGAGTTGCCTTAGTCACTTTTTTCATTGTTGGGAGTAAAAATATTTAACATCTACAAGTTAAGAGAGGGAAGCTTTATTTAGCTCATAGTCTGTAGAGGTTTCATTCTATAATCTGCTGGCTCCAAGGCAGGGTGGCTTGGATAAGGGGCATCACAGAAGAGAAATAGTTCATGGTGGCAGAAGACAGCAAAAGCAACAAGAATTGACCACAGCTCTTTTTAACCTTTATATCTTATCCAGGATACTTGGCAGGGGGTAGCACCCACA